TGTCTCTCTTGACACTGAAAAAGCATTTGATAATGTCAGTTTTCAATGGCTCAAACTAGTCCTTGCTAAATTTGGCTTTTCCGGTCCATTTACACAATTGATTCAGGCTATGTATGCTGCCCCCAATGGCCCAGATAGTAGCAGCGGGAAAAATATCCAACCCTATTCTACTCCATAAGGGAACAAGGCAAGGTTGTCCGTTATCCCCCCTGCTTTTCAATCTTGCACTGGAACCTTTAGCCCGTTTCTTGTTATTTCAATCACGCCTCCATGGTATTCAAATTGGTCAACAAGATCTCCGCATAGCCTTATTTGCTGATGATATATTAATATTCACTTCCAACCCAACTCTAGATTTACCTCATATCCAGACAGTTTTTCGCAGAATTTCGGTGCTGCTCGGGTCTCCATATAAATTTTGCGAAAAGTGAGGTTCTTCCCCCTATATCATGCTCGGCTTCCTGATTGGGCCTGCAACACTCTCTTTAAAATTATACTAATCATATTACTTATCTGGGTATTAAAATTGGGAAATTAGCCTCGTCCCTTTATTCTCTGAATTATTCGCCAGTGATTCAAAAAATTTTAGGGGAATTGGAAATGTGGAAAGACCTGATGTTATCACTTATGGGTAGAAGCCCATCTCTTCAAGATGACGAGTTTTCCGAAGCTTTTATACCCTCTCCAAACTATCCCACTCTGCTCAAACATACGGATATAGTCAAGCTAAACAAGGCGATCTCTAGTTTTCCTATGGAGGGGGCGCCGCCGCGCATAGCCTTGCATAAGTTGTTTCTCCCTAGATGTGAGGGCGGACTGGGCCTCCCCAATATTAGGCTCTATAATCTATCCTGCATTTTACGGGTGTGTATAGATTTGCTCTCCCGAGCGTCCGTTTTTTCCAATTACCAACTTGAATCAGCCATGGTGAGCCCGTTCGATTCTGTCAGCCCAACTCCAACTCACTCCCGGAACATCTTAAACATAATCCACTCATACGGGACACACTCTTCACGTGGAGGAGGTCAGACGTAGACTAGGAGTTTCTCCCTGGATATCTCGTTTTCTTCCCATTCATCACAATCCTTCCTTCTCTGTCTCTCAACAACATGCAGCTTACGATTTGTGGTACAACCAGGGTCTTAGACTTGTTAGCCAATTGTATGACTTTGCATCAGGATCTCCCCTTCCGTTTCCAGCAAATCCTTAGCTCGTTTGAGTTGCCGTCTCAATCATTTTTTGTACATTTTACAAATCAGGAATTTTGTGAAATCCATAGCTCAGAATAAACTCACTCGTTTCTCACGACGGTGAATAGAGGTCCTTGTAAGGAATCAGAAATATAACATATCTGATATATATAGTCAATTGTCTATGCAATACGCAACACCGCTGGAATCCTCCACATCTATCAAATCCTGGATCCGGGACTTTGACAACGCCTTCACTGCGGAACAACTACTCGCAGGCTTTAACATGACCTGTGCGTTTAACACAAACGAATTTTGGCAGGAGCAGCAGTTTTTAAAATTATGCATCACGCTTATATGCCCTGTCTATACTCACGTCCAGACTCATCAATCTCTACGTGTCCGCTCTGTGGTCTATATAAACTGACACTTCACCACAGGTTCTGGAGTTGCCCATCAATCTCTACCTTTTGGAACCAACTTTTGAACTTCATGCTCTTCATCACTACTCTCCCGTTACCTAGAGACCCACTGCTGCTTCTCTTCGGCAACTTGGATGCTTCCGTGTCTGCTGCTACACACCAGCACATTGCTAGGCTCAGAGCCGCCAAACCGTGGCTGTCCACTTGTCTGATGGCCGCTAGCAGGTCTATTCTAAAAAAATGGGTTTCCCAGCAGCCCGCCAACCATCTCGGATGTTAAATTGGAACTTAACTTCCTACTTCGCTTGGATCGGCTCAGCATCCACATCTCTCCATCCACATCAGGAGAGGAAAAGTTCAACCGCAAGTGGGGTCAATATGTCTCAAGAATATTTCCTACTTTGGAGATCCAGCTTCCCTCCCAAGGACTTCTAACGTAGTCCTAACTTAGCCTCTAGGTGATTCCTGATGCACGTGTTTTATTTGTCTTAGGGGGCAAATGATTGCTAAATTACCTTCTCTAAGTCTTCAAGGACCTTTACTTACCTATTTTGGCAATCTCCCCTTTTTACGCCTTGGCTTCTGTTTTCTTATTCTTGCTCTCTTTCATAGCCTCCCTTCACTGTTGACTCTTAGTGAAGAGTCCCCGTAATAGCACACTTTCACACACAATGTTGAGCTGCTTCCTATTATATCATCATAGTAGCCTACTATTCTAACACCCTATTATCTTAGTGTCCTAATCTTTATATTCTGGCCTGTCCTCTTGGTCTTCTGTTCTCTGGTCTCTGACCTCTGATCTTTGGCAACAAAATTCTTGTCCTCCCTTTCTCCTTATCTTCTTTCTGTCCGTATACTCTTTTCTTGGCTGGTTCTCTCAGCTCCTTGTTCTTCTTTCTTCACTGATCTATCTTTTACCTTCTGCTCTCATTTTGCATCTACTTCTTACCTAGATACACGATGACCTTCCTCTTGGTCTTTTGACAAATGGTCAACATGGCATACATTTGCGCATTTATAGGTTACTCATATAAATGAAGATATATACATGTACCTTTCTAAATCCTTGATACTTTATTCTTAAGCCCTGGTAATCTGATACATCAGACGATGTCTCCTTCTTATAAGTAACTTTTTCCTTACTAAATTTTCTGATGCCTCTCTGTCTCTCTTGGGGTTTTGACAATTTGTTTTCATGTACAATTATTATTCTTGAATCTTTCACCGGCTTTGACATGTTGCCACGCTATGAACGCTGCATAATTTCACCGTTGGTTAATGTGTGTATACAATAAAACCAAATAAAGTTTCTTTTAAAAAAAAAAAAAAATTGGATCCTGTCTAAATTGTCCCTAGTATGTGTATGTATGAATGTGAGTTAAGGATCTTAGATTGTATGCCCCTTGAGGGTTAGGACTGATGTGAATGTACAATATATATGTAAAGCGCTGCGTAAATTGAGGGCGCTATATAAGTACCTGAAATAAATAAATAACTTTCCTTGACAGAATCTATAACAGGAGAGCAAGTGAATAGAGGACCAATTTGAATTTTATATAGGGATATCATTGTACTAATATATTAAGGCTAGATTAAACACTGATGCGGTGCGATTTTCCAGTGCAGTCACATTGTGACTTGACACCACTTTGACATTATTAGGATACAGCAGCGATTTCTATGCTGAAGAAAACCTGCTGAAATTGTATGGCAATAAAACAGATAAGCAATTTGAAAGCATTTCCATTGTCTATGGACAACAGAATCACACCAAAGAAGCACAGGACCCTTTCCCAAAGTCAGATCACTGCTGTGCTGCATTGATTAGAACAGACTCCAAAGAAACCAATGTTATTTCCCTTGTGTGATTCAGTGCGATCCGATACACATCTGAAATCGCATTAGCGTGAACAGGGCTAAATGTCCAATTCTATGGAGACAAAGGCAGATGAGATCAAATTAAAATCTAAGTACTATTGGCCAAATACAAAGTTGATATAAAATATGTGAACAATCCTCAGCCAATTGTGTTGATTCACACACTGCATGACCAGGCACTTGAACTGCTCTTCTTTCTTCCCTCCATCCAATCTCCAATTTTCTGGTTCAACTTTACCACTTCCCATGTTCCCTTTTGCCTCTATTCTGCTTACCAATCAGTGCATTTGAATGAGTAACTGTAATGAGCACGGAGATGAAAACAGGAAAGCTGAACTAGGAAATAGTAGTGATCTTCCTGGCTATGCAGGGTAGCAGAGGAATGCAAACCAGAAAATCATTTAGAAGGTAAAACAGTTCACATCTGATATATGTATATCAAACATAAATGTATCAATTTGCTAGAAGGTACATTCTAAATGGAAAGTGTAATTGTACAGTAAAATGCACCATCCCTCCTATTCAAAGAGCCAATGTCACCTCTGTGTTTACAGCCTATTGGAAGCTGGATGCCTCAGCTGTAGTGCCAATGCAGGGGTACTGCCTACTTGGCACAGGAAGGCATGCTCAGCGATCCTGATCTGTGATCATTGGTCAAAGTCTGGCCAACTAATACTTGCCATTGACTGACTGTTCTCAAAAAGAGAACTCCCAGATTTGTACACCTTTGCAATGGTCAAGAGCTGCCAGTTACTCCGGTGTCTATAGCCCCCTGATCTGCTGCAACATGGTGGGGGGGGGGGGGGGGAATCTTTCCCTATTCCTACTTATATCCCATTTACATCTAAGTAAACGTCAAAAGGTGGTTGTATATGCGACCATAAGCACTGTTTAAATAGGAAAGAATTCAGGCAATGGTAGCCCAGCCATGGTAAAATGGTATCGCTTTAAATGCATAATCCACCTTTTAAAAAAATTTAACAACTGCACCTAGATCAATAAATTTCAGGTGCAATGCCCAGGTGCCTGCAGACTCTTTACCCAGCCCCTGGTCAGGACGAAAGTATGGACCTTTGGTTATGGGGCTGTTGGAAGAAAACAATGAACTACAATTGGGGTGATGTCACTGCATTGTGCGCCATTGAGATCTAAAAGTCCCTTAGCCACGGTCGCAGATGGGGCTTGTAGTCTCTCCATTCACAGATCTCTGTGAATGGACAACACTGCTGTGCAGGTGAGGTCTTGCACAGCTTCACCTAATTCCAATGAGAACAGGAAATTGCAGGGAGGAGAACCCCATGATTTAGGTAATGGAATGGGGGGGGGGGGTGCACTGAGGAATGGGGGGCAGGGGGGTTGGGAACATGGCCATGTTTCATGTTAAACCCTAAATAAGGACGTACAATGAAACATGATCAGAAAAATGAATTGCGCATTTAGTCCCCGGCTGACACAGGGTTAACTTTAAGATTTCCAAAAGGCCCAATGGATTGAAATCCAACAGTCTTACTTTTTATTTTGTCCACAGCTTTAATATATTGACAACGCATCTCTTCTAAAGCCTTTCCTCTGCACATATCACAGCCCTTCCCAGATCCCTCTTCTGGCAGAAAACTAAAATGACAAAGAGAACAGAGTAAATGGGTTGCTTTGTTTCAAAATAAACAAAGTACACAATATAAAAAAATATGATACACACATTCTATGTATATACTGTAGAAGATCTAGAACAGGAAATGTCATTTTACCTTTCTTTGGGATTTACAGCTTTTTCATCAAGCTTTTTCTGCAGTTCAAGGTTTTCTTGTTTTAGAGTTTGGACAATGGTTTCATTTTCTGCAGGAAAATAATTTTAAAAAAAATATATATAATAATAATAATAATCTCTCTCTTGGGTTAGCCTGACACATTGTAAGTATGTATATGGAATACCCATTCGGCCCTGTGCAAGCTGTAAACCCCTGTAGAAGCCTGACCCACTCCAGCAATAGCAGCAGTCTTCTGTCGCGCCGAATGGCTGCAATTCTGCAAAGTATCCACGGGGAGGGGGTCGCTCGCTCGGCGCGGCCATCATTCAGAATGCCCTGCATTTTTCTCAATGAATGCAAAACATTCTCTGTATGGAGATGGAGATCATGAGGTCACTCTCCATCTCATTCAAAATACATTATGCATTCACTGAGAAAAATGTGGAGCATTCTCTAAATGGCAGCCATACTGAGCGAGCAACTTTCTGTAGTTACTATTCAGAAGGGCAAAGGCTCAGCACGGCTCCTAGAATATTGCAGCCATCACTGTAGTAGTTTGGACTACTACAGTGATTTACAAATTCCACAGATGTAGATCAGGTATTGCGTACATGTACTCACACTGCGCACAACTGACACAATGAAAGTATGCAAATTATATCATCCCTGGAGTTCAACCGGAAGTATCAAGACTAGATATACAAAACAATTTACATGCAAAAATAGTTCAAACTGGCAGTATGTCTTTTTTTTTTTTTTATTTCACACAATATTTCATCTAAATAAACCCCCCCCCCAAAAAAAAAACAAAAACAAAACATACATACACACGATACAGCAGTTATGTGAATTTGTAGGTAGATACAGTTACTATAACTACAACCGGCAGATTATGTGGGGTGTAATTATAAAATGCTCAACTATTTGTCCTGTGAAATTGCATGTTTATTCGTTTTGTGTAAATGGGGCAGAAACAAATGTTATTAGGCCATTTTCTCTCCAGGTCGAACGTTAGTCTTCCATTAAAAAACAAAAGTGAATTGGAAAAATACTGGATTATGACCACTAGATGGAGCTGATAATAAAATATTTATTTTCTATAATCACCAGCTCTGTCTAGTGGGAATAATGTGGTATTTTCCTGATTCACTATTCTGTATTCATGAAAAAAATTCAAACTTTAAAAAAAAAAAAAAAAGAGCCTAACATCTGTTTTGCCCCCCATTTACACAGATCAAATGTAGTTTTTTTTAGGACAAATAGCTCTTCAGTTTCTTTCATAAATACACCCCCAAGTGTTAAATGGTCAACTTAAAAGGATACCTTTTTTAAATAACTTCCTTTTGTAGTATGTTTACTACCTTTAACTGTATGTCAGTGCAAAATAAAAAAAAATGCAGTACATCTCTGTAATAAAAGTGCTGCATGTACAGAAAAGATACCTGTTGACCTCATCAGAAAAGCATCCCTCTCCTAATTTCCTGATGTGTTCTGAAAACACAGTGCCTATACGGGACTTAAATCACAATAGACAGAGTCAGCTCTACTCAGCTGTCTTTTGCTGAACTACAAAATACCTTCCCTTCTCATCTGCACAGCCCAAAGGGAAGGTATTTTTGTAGTCCAAGGAAAACTGGAAATGGATTAAACTCTTTGAAATAACACAGGCAGAGTGCACAAGACAAAGACAGCCGTAGATTTTTGACAATATCAATAGGTATTTCTTTGTGTGCTCTTATACAAAAATGATTGCAATCTTATATTTAACAGACCAAAAGTAAGCAAATAACTATGGATATTTATTGGTAGGATCTATATTCACACAGCACAGGAGTGTTATTGAAGACAAATCTGATATTCTGCTCAGGTAAGGCTGGCCATAGAAGGGTCGTCTTTTTCTAGCGGAGCCCAAAAAAAAAAAAAAAACCCCACAAAAAAACAAAACAAAAACAAAACAAAACAAAAAACAACCCCCCCCCCCCCAAAAAAAAAAAACAAAAAACAAAAACAAAACTGATTCTTCCATCCACACAATCCAGGTGAATAGTGGAATCCTCCCCACTGGGACATTGTATTCTGACAGTGGGGCTCCCTTTACATTTCTAACAACCCTGATCAACAGAAGTTGATCAATAAACTGAGTTTTGTTGATCCAGATCTGCAACATGTGGATCAAAATTTGGTTGGTCCTTGATGAACCGGCCGAATTTCGATCCACCTATGGCAGGCTTAACTAGCACTGTGTGCGGTTTGCAATCGATGGTATTGTTAGGAATATACTGATGACATATTGCTTAGGTTTATCCAGGGAAAAGGCTTTCACGGTGTAAATAGTTTCATGTACTCTTATGTGGTATTACAGCTCAAATGTAAATTTTTGAATAAGTTGGGTAAAAAGTGTATAGCGGAGGGAAGAAAAAAAAAATTGGAAAAACCATAAAAAGCATTTCTAACACTTTCCAATTTTATTAATTTAAAGGATAAGTTCACCTTTTTTATTCTAAATTCCAGCTCCCCTATGTACAAGTATAGCATTAATGTAGCATTTTTCTACCCACCTTTATGTCCATGTCCAGATGGATGTAAAAAAAAAGCTTTTCCATTACTTCGGTCTTTTTTCCTGCAGAGACTTTAGGTCATGACACAGGAAGGAGTTGACCAGCTGACCTCATTAGCACACACCCTGCATCATCTACCCTCCTACCTCCCACCCTCTTCCAGGTACACGAATATTAAATGAAAAGCAATCAATCAGAGATCGCTGTTCTCACTAAATACACAGACATCGATTTTTTATTTTTTCTACCTCAACTTTCACCTTGCATAAATCATTCTTCTGGCAGAGTGTGCTAAAAACAGCCTATGTGGATAGAGCCGTAGTATTGAAAAAAGGAGAATTGTCTTCTAAGTTCTGGTACATTCACATACACTATACAATCTGATTGTACAATCTCCTTTAGGTGTACCATCAACTATGTAGTGTAAGGGCCTGCCTGATTGGATACAGAGTGATTGGGTAGATAGGTGGGTCCTCTGTCCCATATTTCAGGAAAATCTAAAAAGGAAATTCTACAGAGATTGTACAATCAGATTGCATTTTGTATGGCCATCTTTATACAAGTACACAGGAGAGAGTGGACGGAGACACACAGCTGTCAAGCTCTGTTCCCATCTCTAGCGGGAACTCACATTCCTGCATGCGTTGTTTTCTGGGGTGTTTTGGAGCATTTTCACTTGTCACGCATAGGGCGGCTCATGCACTTGAATGGGCTGCCATACGTGCAGTAATCGCCCCAAAAAAACTCCAGAACTTTCTTTTAAGAGTGGAGTGTTGTGCTCTTCTTACTGTGATTTTTGGGGCAGCGCATTTTTGAAATGTAAGGCAAAGCGTTCATTTTCTATGCAGTGTCCCATTCGTTCGGAAACACACAGATGTAAATGGAGCCTCGTGTTCTGCAAACAAACCAATTTCCCTTTCAGGCCCCATTCAAATCTATCATAATGTGACCGTTTTTTTGGCTTGTTTTACCTGTGACATGCATAGAGCAGCCCGCTGATATCAATTGGCTGTGCTACACATGGGTCTGAATGTTTTGGTGTGACTTTACTATGCGTTTCACTGCGATTGCCAATTGTTTTTTCACATAGAAAAACGTGTTTTGCTTCTGTGTTTGGTGTGCCATTAAAAACAATTAACGGCACCGGACATGCGACTAGTTAATTTTAGGTGTATAAAGGTGGCCATACACAATGCAATCTGTTTGTACAATTTCTATTAGTTTTGACCCACCTATCTACCCAATCACTCTTATCCAATCAGGCCGACCCTTCCACTACATAGTTGATGGTAGACCTAAAGGAGATTGTACAATCAGATTGTACGTGTATGTGAACATAACAGAACACAATTCTCCCGTTATACTACGGCTCTATCCACATAGGCTGTATCTGTTCACTCAGCACACAAATGAATGATTTATGCAAGATGAAAGTTAAGGTAGAAAAATAAAAATCAATGTCTGTGTATTTAGTGAGAACAGCGATCTCTGATTGATTGCTTTTCATTTAATATGCACTGGAAGAGGGTGGGAGGTAGGAGGGTAGATGATGCAGGGTGTGTGCTAATGACGGCTGGTCAACTCCTTCTGTGTCATGACTAAAGTCTCTGCAGGAAAAAAGGCCGAAGTAATGGAAAAGCTTTTTGGACAGCCATCTGGACACGAAGGTGGTAGAAAAAATGAATTTTGAATTTCTGCAAAAGAAGTACATTGATGCTATATTGGTACATAGGGGAGCTGGAATTTAGAATAAAAAAGGATTGCAGGAGTGTGAGAGGAAACCAGATTCCACACTAGTACATGCAAACTCCATGGAGGTAGTGTTGTGATCGGGATTTTGACCCTGGTGCTGCAAGGTAGCAGTGCTAACCACTAAGAAAAAGTTTCAGCTGGAGTTCCAATTTAATTGCTTTGGTGCTCTGCAACAGCCAAATCTGCATATCGGGATTTTAAAAAGCATTTTTCACCAAAAGCACAAAATGCAATGAAGAAAGGGGGAAGTGCAAAAAACAATATACCGGAAGGTGTGCCTCGTATGCATTACAACCTGCAATCATCACTAAAGCCGGCCATAGATGGATCTAATCTCGGCCAGTTCAGGACTGGCTGAAGTTCAATCCATCTATGAGCAGGCTGGTTGCACCCAAATCGATCAGTCAATCGACTTGGGTACAATCAGCCTGTCGGATATTTTTAATGTGATCACTGTCATTGGTTAAAGCCGCTAGCAGTCATGTGGTATCGTGTTCTGCCGGCTGGGAAGTCTACCCATTCCCCCATCAACAAATGAAAAGGTCCATTTAAAGTGTTATGGATAGGTTGAAGTAGGTTTTGTATTGCCACCTGTGACCCAAAAATGAACATCGTCACTTTCCCAGCACAAGAAGTGAGAATCTCCAACATTGAAATAGGTAGTGACAACACCCCTCCAACTTCCCCCCCCCCCCCCAACTGTGGTGGAAGGAAAGAAAAATCGCACAACCTATGGCCTGTCTTAAGCTGGCCATACACGTGTAGATTTTCGGACGAGAATATTTGCACAAAAAATTGTCTGAAAATTCTTTGAACATTCGGTAAATGGAAGAATGACGTTAGAAAATTGTCTTTTATTATTATTATACAGGATTTATATAGCGCCAACAGGTTACTCAGCGCTTTACAATACAATATAATATAGGGCAGCACAGTGGCTTAGTGTTTAGCACTTCCGCCTGGCAGTACTAGGGTCATTGGTTCGAATCCCACCCACGGCACCATCTGCCTGGAGTTTGCATGTTCTCCCTGTGCCTGCGTTGGTTTCCTCCCACACTCCAAAGACATGCAGGTAAGTTCATTGGCTTCTGTCTAGATTGGCCCTAGTGTATGTATGAATGTAAGTTAGGGACCTTAGATTGTACACCCCTTGAGTGTTAGGGACTGATGTGAATGTACAATATATATACTGTATGTAAAGCGCTGCGTAAATTGACAGCGCTATATAAGTACCTGAAATAAATAAATAACGGGAGACAATACAGCAACAATACAGTTCAATACAAGAGGGTTAGGAGGGCCCTGCTCCTGGGAGCTTACAATCTAAGAGGGAGGGGCTAGTGGTACTAAAGGTAGTAACTGTGGGGGATGGACTGGTAGGAGGAATAGAAGATTCCATTGTCTTTTGCTTTTAACATTCGAATTTAAAATGAATGTAATTTCTGAACAATAACCACACACACTGGTCGAAATCTCGTTTGAGAAAAGTTTTCCTTCCTGCCCCTCTGAATTTTCCTATCACTGCGTTCAAAAACAAACACTGATTTGACCCCACTAACGATTAGAACAACAAACGAATATTCTTGAAACAAAAATACCCGAATAAAAATCTGTACGTGTATGGCCAGCTTTAGTGTAGGCTGTTAGTTATGTGCTATGATGTGCCCTCCAGGAGGAATCAAAGCACCATCTCCAATGGCTCCTGTAGGCCTATGGGCTCTTGCACACGGGCACCAGAAATACACATTGATACATAAGGACCATGTAGAAGGACAATAAAGAGATGTAGCACACCTTTAAACTGCTCCACTCGGAGCTTCTGCTCTTTGACCGCCTGTTGAAGGTGGCGGCACGCTTTGTCCAGTTTATTCCGCAGCTCCTGGCATTCCTTCTTTGACTTCTCAAGTTGTTGCTGGCAATTCTCACAGCAACCAAATTCCGAGCTTTCACTTTTCCTCTTTAGCGGAGGATCTACAGTCAGCATGGTCTGTAAATTTCCTGCAGCAATTTGGAGAGAAGCGCAACAGATTTATTAACTTATTGACAAAGAGAATGTATTGTAATTATGCGAAGGACAACATTTTTAATTTCTTTTTAATAATATGAATATTTCATAGTAATATTTGGTAGTCTTCTATCCAGCCAGCAGGTGGAGAGCTAGCCTCCTTTCCACATGTGAAACTCTATACTACTTTCACCTATGATTTTTTTTTTTTTTTCCATTACAGAATTTTCCTTCATTTTCTGTACTGTTTTTTTTTTTTTTTTTTTTTTTTTTTTTTTTTTTAGACACACAGCTACTGCCCCTAATACATGCATGCGGGTGTACGGCTCCAAACACACCCAGAATCAGGTCCCGGACACGCACCCACACGATGTCATGACACAGCCACTGTGTCCCAACAGACATGAATGGGATTGCCCGCACAGGGATGCATGCAACACCTGTCCATCCCTGCATGGACAAACACAGCTCTGCATGAGCATGGATGTAATCAGCCCGTGTGAACAAAGCCTTACTTGTAGAACAAAAGATTGCAAATATAATATAAATACAAAAAGGTAAAACAGTGGAAAAACCTTTTGTTTACAGAAATCTCTTGAGTCAATTAGAAAAAAACTGAGCTTAGAAAGCAGGCTAATGAAGATCTGATGTGTGTTCTCTTTAGCTAACCCATAGTTCTTTGAGGGTCCTTTGTAATGCAATATATAATTTGTAGAACAAAGATGTGATGCAATATATATTTGTATAACAAAGATTGCAAATCTAAATGTTTCCTGACACTATTAAAACCAAAATAAATTTTGGCTTTAGATATGCTTTAATTTATCTATCCCAGGTTTATTTCTTATGTAAATGTAAAACCAGGTCACAATCTTCTCAAATCAAATGTTTTGAAAAATCTGCCCTTTCCTCAACCTGCATTCTAGTGCAAGAAGGGTACCATGGATAAAATTGTAACCTGGATTACACACAACTGCTAAAGTTTATATGGACCAGTTCCAGCCATTGTGCACATTACAAGCAATTAAAACACGGAGCTTGAAATCAAGATCAGTAGCAGATAGATAGATAAATAAATAGACAATATATCATTTTTTTATCCTCTTTTTTTTCTTTTTAATAAAACTGTATTTAACCACTTCCCGTCCGGCCCATGTACATAAACGGCCAGGCGGGAGCAGTAAAGAAGCGGGTTTCCGTTCATAAACGGACCCCACATTTACAGGCTGTGTGCACTCCCTGGGAGCGGAACACCGATCACTGTATGGGATCTGTGTGTGAGGTCCCGATCATGTTTGAATAACATAAGACCCATCTCCCTGCTCCCGTTTGACTCCAGGCTTCTCGAGCATCTTGTTCAGAACCGTATGAACTGCTACCTCACCGACAACAACCTTCTTGATCCCCGACAGTCTGGCTTCCGCCCGCAACATTCCACAGAAACTGCCCTACTAAAACTCACTAATGACCTACTAACTGCTAAAACCAACAGCCATTACTCCATACTCATACTCCTAGACCTTTCTGCTGCCTTTGACACAGTCGACCACCCGCTCCTCCTCAGTAAACTCCACTCCATTGGCCTCCGTGACTCTGCTCTCTCCTGGTTCTCCTCTTACCTTTCTCAGCGCACTTTCAGTGTCACATACGATGACTCCTCCTCCGCTCCCCCTTTCTGTTGGGATATCCCAAGGTTCTGTCCTTGGGCCCCTCCTTTTCTCTCTCTATACATCCTCCCTGGGCCAACTGATAACCTCCCATGGCTTCCAATACCACCTCTATGCTGATGACACCCAGATCTATCTCTCCACTCCCCAGCTCACCCCCTCAATCTCCTCACGTATCACAAATCTACTAAGCAACATATCAGCATGGATGTCACATCACTACCTTAAACTCATTCTTTCAAAAACTGAGCTTGTAATATTTCCTCCTCCCCGATCTCCCACTTACGACTTTACCATTAAGATCAACAGCACAACCATTGGTCCTTCCCCTCATGCCAGGGTGCTAGGCATAATCCTAGACTCTGACCTCTCCTTTGGGCCCCACATCCACTCACTGGCTAAATCCTGCCGCCTCAACCTCCGGAACATTTCCAAAATCCGCCCCTTCCTGACCAATGACACCACAAAACAACTTATCCACGCCTTGGTTATATCCTGCCTTGATTACTGCAACTCCCTCTTCACTAGTCTACCGTTACACAGGTTATCCCCCATTCAGTCTATTATGAATGTTGATGCTAGACTCATACACCTTACCAACCGATCAGCGACTGCTACCCCTCTCTGCCAATCCCTTCACTGGCTTCCACTAATCCAACGTATAAAATTCAAAATACTAACCACAGCTTACAAAGCCATCCACAACACTGCCCCTAGCTACATCACCAACCTCATCCACAGATACCGCCCACTCCGCTCCTCCCATGATATCCTCCTCTCTAGCTCCCTCATCACCTCCTCCCACGCTCACCTCCAGGACTTCTCCAGAGCCTCTCCCATCCACTGGAACTCCCTACCACAGCATGTCCGGTCAGCCCCCACCCTGTCTGCATTTAGGCGATCTTTGAAAACTCACTTCTTCAGGGAAGCCTACCCCACCTCCACCTAAGAACTGTACTTGAATCACCTCCGCCAGATCATCCCCCACAGCTATCACCTTCTGTATCACCTCCCCCTTCCTTTAGATTGTAAGCTCCACAAGCCGGGCCCTCCTATTCCTTCTGTACTGAAATGTATTGTAATTGTACTGTCTCCCTTATATTGTAAAGCACTGCGCAAACTGTTGGCGCTATATAAATCCTGTATAATAATAATAATAATGTGATCACTGATTGGCCAATCAGTGATCACATGAATAGTAAGCAAGATGTCACTTCTGACATCAATGCTTACTACGTGTGAAAACTGTGAATGATCACAGAGGTCACATGGTACAAGGCTATTCACAACAGCCTTGTACCATGTGACAAGCTGTGACCAATCACAGCTCTCACAGTATTTCTCAATGGCTGCAAGAATGCAGCCAGAGTGAAGGAGAAATGATTGCTTTTACACCCATAAAGTCTGTAAAAGCAATCAGTATAAAAAAATAAAAAACCTTTATCACCCCCTACAAAGTAGTACAGTGTCACTATGGTGACACTCTACTGCTAGGGTGACAGTATGTTAAAAAAACAAATCTACAAAAATAAAAATGTAATAACATTTTTTTTTAAAAATTATACTTTTTTGTTATAAACAAATTTGGGTTATTTTTTACTAAAAAGCTAGATAAATACATTTTGGCCCAGATTTATGAAGAAAGATTATTTATTTGCAAAATTTTATAAGAAAAACACTTTTTTTTCGAAATGTTTGGACTTTATTTATATAGCAAAAAAATAATTTTAGAAAAATTATAAATTTTTGGTTATAAACTAATTTGGGTTACTTTTTTTTACTAAAGATAACTGAATACATTTTGACTAAGATTTATGAGAAAGATTATTTGCAAAATTTTATAAGAAAGCACTTTTTAAAAATTTTTGGACTTTTTCATTTATATAGCAAAAAAAATAAAAATCCCTGTGGTGAATAAATACCACCAAAATAAAAGTTTTATCGGTCTCATAAAAATGCTAAAAAATTCATATGGGTACAGTGTTGCATGGCCGCGCAATTGTCATTCCAAGTGTGATGGCACTGAAAGCTGAAAATTGGCCTGGACAGGAAGGGGGTGATAGTGTCTGGACTTGAAGTGGTTAAAGGATAAGTTCACCTTTGAGAACATGTAACATCCATTTTTGGGGTGGAACATGTAACATGTTCCCATAGCCGCCCCCCTCCCTCTGACAGATAATACGTGGAAACTTCTCTCCATACTGTCAGATTTGAAAACAGCGCAGCTGTGAGGGACTTCCGTGAATGAATGAACTGCAAGTCCCGGCAGCCTTAGTGGCTGTCAGCTTATAGTTTTCAATGAACTATCATGGTGCTGTGGAGCGCTGTTGTAGTTCACTGAAGCTTCCTGTCAACATATCTGCTTGACCGTAAATCCCGTACAGCAAGCAGATATTCTGACAGGTCTGCAGGAGACCTGCATGGCGTCAGCCATCTACTGATCACTGGTGCAAGGCTTTCCGGCCTCCTTTGGACAATAATAATACATGCACATTATTTTACCTGCAAAAAAATTTGCATTTATTATTTTTGTCTAAAAAATCCTTTAAGACAAATTTGTTGTGATAAAAGAATGTCATTTTAGGTTTACAAAATTACTGCAGCAGGAAATACTGCACTGCTTCTGTTGTGTCTTCCCTTTCCCCAATACAGTGGACTTCCTGTCCTCAAAGGCCCTACAGGAACACTGATATCTGCAAGTGCTGTACACCGACATGTGTATGAATATGTGCATATTATTTTAAAATGTAAAGTTTTATATATATGTGTGCACTGTTTTCTGTAATGAAATCTTATGGGTAAAAATATGGAGCCCACAACAGATGTATTTACAGTGAACGCCCATACATTGTACTTTACAGCCATGTGCAAGAGGCCTAACGCTTCTTACTATGAAGCCATAACAAAATATTACAGGTACATTTTAAAGTGGAACTAAACTCTCAATCAACATTAACTATTTTTATTCCTTAGGTTTTTAGCATTAGTAAATAGACAGGAAGGTATATTAATGTTAACATGTTTTAAACTTTTTTTTTTATATTTCTGCAGTTGCTTCCTTGTTTCTGACCTAGGCCAAAATGATGTCATACATCTCAGGAGCACACCCTCCTGTATGCCTGCCTAAGCTAAAGCTAAATGGATTGCAGGAAGTAAAAGCTACATGAATCATCTGCTCTTGCTTAAAGCAGAGCTCCACCCAAATTGGAAGTTCTGCTTAAAGCCTTTGTCCCCCCCGCTCCCCGTTAAGGATTGGCACCTTTGAGGAGCGGGTACCAGAATTTGACAGGTACCCGCTCCCACTTCCGCTGCTATCACCTAGGCCAGGGGTGGGCAACTGTGGCCCCCCAGCTGTTGGTGAAATACAAGTCCCATCATGCCTCTGCCTTTGGGAGTCATGCTTGTAACTGTCAGTTTTGCAATGCCTCATGGGACTTGTAGTTCTACAACAGCTGGAGGGCCACAGTTTCCCACCCCTGACCTAGGCGATCGGAAGCTGAAATTGTCCTCCCCCCTTCCTGCCTGTAGTCTTCTGTGACACGTCCCAGAAGACTACGGGACCATTCACAAAGCGCAGCGCTACTCACGCATGCGCAGTGGGCACCCGGCTGTGAAGCCACAAGCTGTCACAGCCGGGTGCCCACACTGAAGATGCCGGCACCAGGGAGAGAAGACAGCTGGTGAAACCAGCGGTGGTGAGGACACCCCTGGACCGAGGGACAAGTAAGTGGCTGTATTTTAAAAGTCAGCAGCTACAGTTTTTGTAGCTGCTGAGTTTTTGTTTTTCCCAGGTGGAACTCCGCTTTAAGATGGTGAGGCTAGAAATACCAGGGGGGTGTTCAAAGTGATTTCTCAATAACAATAAATCATGAAGACATGGATGGATGAGTTTGCTATGAATATTAAAAATTAAATAGTGTGTTCAGTTTGTGGGGCCCAGATACAGTTTAGCTCCACTTTAAAGTGGAACTGAACTGCATTTGAGCACCAAAACCAAAAAGCCATTTAATTCATTGTTAATATTCAAAACAAACTCCCCCATCCATTCATGTCTCCATGCTTTAATCTGCTGAGAAATCATTTTGAAAAACACCCACTAGCATTTCTGGCAGTGGCTATCTTGAGTAAGGGCAGATGATTCATGTAGCATTTACTTCCTGGAATCCATTTGCCCTTAGCTCAGGTATTGACTGAGATGAGAACCCTCCTTGTCCTGAAGACTTCTGGGATGTTTGACATAATTTGCCTATGCATAGAAACCAGGAAGTAACTGAAGAAATTAATAAAAAGAAAAGAAAAAAGTTTAAAACAAGTAAATATGATATACTTTCCTAACCATTTACTACTACTGGCAGCATAAGGATTAAAAATAGTCCATGTTAATTGAAAGTGTGAAGTTTCACTTTTAAAAGTACAAAAAAGCCATAAAATGAAAAGTTGAGAGAGAAGTATGTTTTTTTTTTTTTTTCTAAATCATACTTACCAAGGTGGTCCCCCACTGGCTCTAAGGGTGAGAACTGAGCGATCAGACACCACCGATTGCTCAGTTCTCCCTGCCACTCTGAGCAGAGAGCAGTGAATGTCTGCTCTGCCCACTCCCAGCACTCACTGGAACGCTGGGCTGTTGAGGGGGCGGGAGCGGCTGGCCTGGTCCAGCAGAGTGACTTTAGCCTGCTATTGGCTGAAAACGGGTCTCAGGAATGCAGAAACGAACTGCATGTGATCCACAGGAGAAGTACAGTTAAACAAGCTTTTGCTGTACTTATCCTTTAAAGAAAAAGGCAGCAATAAAGGTCCATTTAACCACTTGCCTACTGGGCACTTTTACCCCCTTCATGCCTAGATCAATTTTCAGCTTTCAGCACTGACACACTTGGAATGACAATTGCGCAGTTATGCAACATTTTACCTATATGAAATTTGTATCATTTTTTTCACATACATAGAGCTTTCTTTTGGTGGTATTTAATCACCACTGGGTGTTTTATGTTTTGCACTATAAACAAAAAAAAGAGCCAAAAATTTGAAAAAAAAAAAGTTTTTCTTTGTTTCTATTATAAAATTTTGCAAACAGGCAATTTTTCTCCTACACTGATGTGCATTGATGAAGCTGCACTGATGGGCAGTATTGATGGGCACTGATGAGGTGGCACAGATAGGCTGCACTGATGAGCAGCATTGATGGGCACTGATAGGCAGCATTGAGGGGCACAGATAGGCAGCATTGTTGGGCATTTATGAGGTGGCATGGATAGGCAGCACTGATGAGGTGGTACTGGTGGGCATTGATGAGGCACGGATGATGCTGCACTGATAGGCGGCACTGATGGGCGGCACTGCAGGGCACAGATGGGAGGCACTGCAGGGCACTGATAATCAGTGCCGACCTGCCGATTATCGGAAGCACGTTCCTCACACTGTGACAGTGTGAGGAAAGTGCTGCCGATAACTGGCAACTGTATCTGATCACGTGGTAAAAGGTTGCTGTGATAGGCCTTTTACCTCATCACGTGATCAGCTGGGTCCGTAGGACGCAGCGATCACTGAGATCTCCAGGTGCGCGCTGCTGGAGGTGAAGCAGGAGGGTGCTTTCTGGGAGGACGTCATTCAGCAATAGTGCGGTAAGCATGTGGTTAAAGTGTTCTGTATTATGTTGAAGTAGGTTTTGCATTGCCAAGGGAAATCTCAGACATTATCACACAGGTAGTGACAACACCCCCTAACATCTTTTCCTGTAGAGTTAGGATAGCTTTGTATACTCAAGTGAGATTTTCCTTCATCTCCTATCCCGGGGACAACGTTGTCTGAGACAGGAGGAGAAGGAGAACATCCCTTAAGGGGTAAAAGCCTAACAGAGGTTTATCAAAAACTGGATTTCCACTATAAAAAAGACAGTATCGTGTATGGCTTCAGCAAAATATGTTTCATTAAAAGGTGGAGCATACCATTTGCCACCTTTTCTGTAAGAATTCTTTTTGGATTCTTCTGCGCACCTTCAGGATGAAGTCTTTCCTTCCCTCTTAAGAAGACACTAGAATCCTGGCAAGTCTCTATTTCAGCATGTATCTGAAGAAAAAACAAAGAAACAGATGAATAAAGCATGTCCAAACAGAATGAGTTAACGTAGTTCCGTATAATCGCACAAAACATACCAGCTTCATTCCCTGTTTTGCATTTGAGACAACTTTGTAAACAATCCCTTTAACTGATCTCTGAAGATAAGATCTTAATTTCTGTAGAAACGGTGCATCTAAGCTGCTAGTTGCCAGTGACGAGTGTTCATCTCTTTTACATTTTTCAACAAGTTCTTCGTGGATTTCGGACATAAGGTTCTCGATTTCAGACAGGATCTCATTATCGTGATCAAGCAAACGCTTAGATTCTTCAGAAATCTGCAGTTTGAGGCTCCTATTAAATCGTTCAGTCATTTCCGCCTCTTTTTGTGCGAGTTGTTCATTTTTCTGTTTTTCAAAATCAGCTTTTGCTGTATATAGCACGTCACTGATTTTGGTCCTATGATCATCCAAGAAGGTGCGGAAATCTTTTTCATTTTGTGCCCGAATGGCTTGGACTTCCTCCTGCTTCTCTTTGTTCCACTGAGCACGTGCCTTCCCGAGTTCAACTTTCATCTGAGCTTCAAACTCTTCAGCCTTCAAGTCCAGTTCCCGCTGTAATGCTGCCATTTTCTCTTCACATTCTTTGTGTTTAAAGCGCTGTTCACTCTTTTCAGACTCAAGCTTCCATTTCTCTTCTGCTGCAGCAACTGCATCTGATATCTTGGATGGGAAACAATAGTTAGTTCAAGAAGTAACATCTTCTATGTTTAACCTCATGCCAAGCAGATAACGCATATGTTGGGCAGCAGGGAGGGTGGAACTTAAAGCAGTATTGAACCCAAATTCAAACATTTATTATGTCGCAGCATATGAATTCTTAGGTGTAATGGCTTGGTTTCCTTTTTTTTAGGCTTTCATTCTTCAATTTTCCAGCAGAATGTATACGTTTTCTTAATTAAAAAGGTATGCGCTAATGACAAACTTATACAAAGGTGTATATCATCATCCAAAAAAAAAAACATTTAGTGTTTTAAATAAATAATTATAGTGTCCAAAAAAAATATATATATTAGTGTCCAAAAAAAAATATATATATAGATCTTCAGTGACTTGAACCAATTGTGAAAAATCCACCACCAAAGGAGATTAAATGAACTCACCAGAGCTAATGGCTCTGGTGAGTTCATGTATAAGAATGTATAAGTTTGCATGGATGAGACAGACCACTTAACACTGACAGGGGTGCTTGAAATGACCAGCTTTTATTTATTCATGCAAAATCTTTATCCCAAAAGGAAAAACAATGCTGTAACTCATTATAAAGGGAGAGCTGAAGTTTGGCTTCCATTTAGTAGTGTATCCCCATCTGCTAATACATTTAACCCCCCCCCCCCCAAACTGACAATGGTGCTGTCTGCTGTGCCTCCTATCTCATTCCTCCAGAATAGTGTCTCACCAATACAGAGGCTGTGTTACTGGTCAGATTACAGGTGAAACAGGAGGGGGGAAAAAAAATTACATCTGGTAATTTGTAAGCTGCAATATAGTACATTTTTGGTTTGGGTTTAATACTGCTTTAACGCCCTTACACCATATATATGTACCCATGGAGGTCCATATTTTCTGTGCTGAGAGCATGCTCACAGCACAGTGACCAAGTTGTTGCAGACAGCTCCTGGGCTCTGTATAAACTGGGAGAGGGGCTGGATAGGCTTCCTATCAAGTGATCACTGTGATTACAGTGATCACATGACTGCGAAATCCGCCTTACCTTATGGCCTTAAGTCCCCTTTAAAAGGCCACTGGAAGGGGTTGGGAAGTGGTTAATGAGCTATTGCATAGTTCATACGAATGCCATAGACAATTGGTGCCTGAATGCAGTTCCTTGGCTGAGGTTTCAAAGAAAGCTAATGATCCATTTGGGATCAGACCTACACATTCACTGCTGAACAGAGGAGCATGTTACGCAAAAGAGGCTCTAGAATGAACTAAAGCAAAAGGCCAGCACAAGGCCACACTTAGTAACCAGTTGAAAGAAATCCCTACCTCCCACAGCCTACTGGCCCTAAGATGCTTATGGCTGTTTGAAAGCAGACGAGGAGCCAGGAACTTCCCCTGCACTTTTTTTTTCTCTTTTAAAGTCTGTCTTAACCTCCCTGGTGGTATGATTATTTCAGATTTTTGGTGCTGAAAGCGGTACCCTTTTTTTGCATGGAAATATGTTTTTTTTTATTGTAGGCCTGTAATTTTTAGGAATAACTCACTGAAATCTGTCTGAACAAGAGTCTAGTAAACATCCCGGGTATGATAACATTTGAAACACTAAATTATAATTTAATAAATCATAAAAATAATATAATACATTTAATTCAATAATATAATCAAACCAAAAACACTGAAATATAGCGCCAAGTTCGCACATCACTGAGCAAAGGAGCAAAATCATTTTCATTGTCTGATGACGAATTTCCCCACAAATCATTATCACTCAATTCTGCAAGTGGTTCTAATTTACTATCGCTGTTCTCTAGCTGGTCTAAAACCGCTTTTGACCTAAAGGGACGCTTTTTGGACGCCATGGACGTTTCTCAGTTTCCAGGCAGAAAGAACAGTAAAAATGCAGGCAGGGCACAGGACAAAGCACTCGGGACAAAATGTATGTGAAATGGTTTGATGCAGTAATGTTTTACTATGTGATTTTAGTGAATGTCACTTTTTGTAATTTTTGAATTTCCCGCCGTTCAGTCCCCGTACATCCCGACGTTCGCAGGGAGCAGAACCCAGAAGACAGATACCAGCATCCGCCAGAGGACATTGCCGGGGACACTGCAGGAGGGACATTGCGGGAGCGCAGGACAAGGTAAGTGATTGAGGGATCGCGGAGCAGCGCCGCATGGTAAGCCCGAGTGTAGCTCGGGGTTACTGCTTGTGGTACTGAAACTTTACTCCGAGCTACACTCGGGAATACCTCCAGGGGGGTTAAGAGAAATAAGTAGTCTGCCATTGCTGATCTCAATGGTTGCCTCCCTGTCCTGCTGACACTTGCGGAGTGCCTGGCCTGAAAGAACTGCGCTCACTAAAGTCTGAACTCCTAACGTTCACATTAACTCCAGATCACTCACCTAGTTTCTCAGAAGGAGAGGTCAGTAATAGTGTCCAATATAGATTTCTCATTCTAGGGTTACTTTAAATGGAACCAATCACATAAAAAGATTGACCAGTGAACACTGAACAGAAACTATACAAAGTTGGATATACATGGCAAAAAGGAAGAAACTAATTACCTCTTTACAATCTATTAGATTGTAAGCCCTTATGAGCAGGGCCCTCTTGTATTGTAACTGTACTTTCTCTCTTTATATTGTAAAGCGCTGTGCAAACTGTTGGCGCTATATAAACCCTGTATAATAATAATAATCACTTTTCACCTTGCTTTCACATTCTGTATACCATGTTCCACCTACTGGAACACATACAATTCACCTGTATTAAAGAGTTACTAAACCCAGGACCCGGAATTCACTATAATCTGGTCTCCCACAGTACACAGAACATGGAAATTGGGCCAATCAGTGCTGTCCAGACAGAGTGTCAGGGGTCCTGCAGCCTCATAGGACAAATCAGAGGAGAATGAAAACTCTTCCTATTAGCAACATAAACTGCTAAACATCTTTTCTCATCAGCATTTAGAGCAGTCTTGTGACTTTTCTCAGTGTCCAGCAGAGTGCTGGTTAAAGCTTGTAGGAGTTTTCATTCTCCCCCGATTGTCCTATGAGACTGAAGGACCCCTGGCCCTATCTGGACAGCACCGATTGGCCCTGTGCTGATCACATGCACTCTCCCAAGAAAAAAAAAAAATAAAACTCTCTAGCAATACACACCAATCTGAACACATGCAGCTCGCCCCCAAGGGTCTGTTCTATCAGCAGATGAATTGGGGACAGTAGAAGAAGGGGAGGATCAGAGAAGGGGCAACCCCCCTCTGAAGACGTGCCGGAGCACGATACGCGTAAGGAGGAGCCACACCATGCCGTGAAGTCACGCCGCCAGAGCAACGCGGAGCTCTGGCGGCCATCTTAACATTCCAGACGGTTAGTTATGCACCAATAACTGTCTGCAACGATTTTGTGCACCTGATGTACCTTAATAAATTTCATTTTTATACCAATTACTACACTATGGGAGTACCTTTGTTACCCCTTGGGGGAGCATTCTAATTTACAGACCTACTCCTGGATGTACCCGGATCATATCTCTCACCAGTGATCACCAGGTGGACCCCCAATTGGAGAGGACCAACAGCCCCATACGCAGTTGAGGGAGGACCACCCATTACCGGATGACATCTGGATTATACACAAAGGCGCATACTTTATGCGGGTCTGGTGAGTGCGCATTGCTTTATCATATATTTACACGGATACCAGGATCAAGGCACTGACTCTCTATTTCTGACAGCAGAGGGGAAGTCAGTTGTAGCCCTCCAAGAGGACAACAGCACTTGCAAATGCGACTGCAGTGCATTACAGCATCCTCAGTGGACATGCGACTCCAACATGGTAACAATTTGTTTTAACTAACTTGCCCAAACAAAGTGGCAGGTAACCTGGAGTTCTTCTTTGAACCTGTATCTGTTTCAGAAAGAATTATATTGCTAATTGGTCACCAATTACTGACCACGTCACTAGCATATCATGAAATATACCTGCTTTTCAACATTGAGAATATTAAGCTTCTCCCATTTTTCTTTCTCAAGCTGCAAATTTGCTTTGTATTCAGATAAGCTGGTAAGTTCCTGCAGCCACCTGGCATGGCCTTTTATTAAGGCCAACTCCACCTAAGGGGAAAAAAAAGGGGGGGGGGGGGCAAAAAATGAATGGTAAATTAAAAACCCATTGGGGGTTCTTTACTAAAACTGCATGATGCAAGATCTGGTGCAGCTCTGCAGAGAAACCAATCAGATTCCAGGTTTTATTATTAAAGCTTGATTGAGCAAGATGAAGCTAGACGCCAACTGGCTACCATGCACAGCTGCACCAGATTCTAGATGCACCAGTTTTAGGAAATGTAACCCATTTTGTGAAGTTTTCCATAACATTAGACTGCTAAATATGGAAGAACTGCATATTCACAAACTGACGACTAATACATCTAAGAATAAAAAAAATATACTATGTTGTACATTTTGTTATTTTCTTTCACAAAGTGTTGGAACTGCTTGCAAGTTTAAATTGAGATAAAAGAGGCGCTATGACCTGACTTTAAAAGACACCTCTAGCAAAGAATGACAACTGTGACGCATGTAAAGAAAAAGACACAACGCGGTTTATTTACCAAAGCTGGGGAGTGCAAAATCAGGCTTTCCATTCTGCATAGAAACCAATCGGCTTCCAGATTGTATTGCCAAAGCTTAATTGAACAAGCTTAAGTTAGAAGCGGATTGATTTCTATGCAGAAGTGAGCCTGATTTTGCACTCTCCCGCTTTTGGAAATAAACCCCAATAGGACTGCTCAACTAGTTCTAGAATTCACATAATTTTGTGAAAAACATTAAAAGTAAGCCCGCCTCTGTGTAGAAAAAAATGGAAGAAGAGGTAGCCTGTTAAACAGGTTTGTAGTTACATTTGAAGTGGCTGGTAGCTCAAATCTTCATTCCTTTATGGAGTTCTGGGTTTCACTGCTAACACTTTATTGTGTTGGATAGATTGTCCCTGTCGTGGTTCTTCCCAGCAAAGTGTCCTGTGGCAAAGTGGCCAGCGGGAATGTGCTATTGGACACATCTAAGAGTGGGATAGCAACAGTGCCGCAGCAATTCAAGAGCAAAGATTTATCAACATCTACTGAAATATAGTACAAAAGCTTCTGATTTTGCAAACTGCATCCCCTTCAGTTCTTTTTTTCTTCCATAGCGACAGGGCCACTTTTTTTTTTTTTTTTTTTTTAACTTTTCCTTTCACTCTAACATAACATTCTACTGCAACAATACAAATTTTAGGAGGAAGTATTTAAAGTGTTACTAAATCCAGAACCTTGCATTCGCTATATCGTATATGCATTTAGCCCTTTATATTATATCTATATTATAAACCGATACACACATTTTCTCATCGTAGTATATAGCAGTTTTGTGACTTCTATCCGTGTCAGGCTGAGCACTGGTTAATCGTGAAAGAGGAGTTTTCATTCACCTCTGACTGTCCTATGACACTGCATTACCCCTGACCCTCCGTCTGGGCAGTGCTGATTGGCCCAGTGCTGATCACATGCACACTCCAAAAAAAAAAAAAAAAAAAAAAACCTCTAGTACACACCTAACTGAGCATGTGCAGGGTCTCCTAGGGCTTTGCACTATGTAGCAGATGGATTGGGGACTGGAAGAAGGGGAGGACCAGAGAAAACAGGATCAAACAGCCATTTTACATAATGCAGAGGATTAGCCCTTTAGGTTTCACAGCAAGTATAACAAGCATGATTTACTACTCCTACAGAATGATTTTTCTGTTGTGGATTTAGTAACACTTTAACATTAACCACTTGAGGAAATCGGTCACAAGCCTAAAAAGAAAAAAAAATGAATCTAAATACTGTGGGCCTGTGTGGTACACCCAGCCTCTCCCTCACAGTTCTCCAGTCTCATTGCCTGGAATAGTTTTTATTTAAATAGGACCAAATATCTTTCTGCTCCTGTGTAAACCAACAGCATCTGCAGTGTCAAGAAGAGATAAAATGAAGTTTAATTTTGGTGGCCCTGTTGCAAACCTCCTGCCCCATATCCTTCAATAAAAATTTCAAGAGCAGCCAGGTATAAAATTGTTGTCTGAACAGCAGCTGCTTCCTATTACATGAAGCCACTGTTCAGGCACTCTGACAGCTGCTGGTGCCGACTATCAGAATTTAATAGACGCAACAGGAGACTCATCCATCTGCAATGTGTAGCAAATCTGTGTATGGCCAGCTACAGTACATTATTGCTTAATTTTAATGTCTGTTGTCCATTCATAGCAGAACCAAGGGGGTGATCTTTGAGTAACTTGTGGTTAGTTGTGGGCAGCACAGTGGCTAAATAGTTAGCACTTCCGCCTGGCAGTACTAGGGTCATTGGTTCGAACCCAAACCACGGCACCACCTGCCTGGAGTTTGCATGTTCTCCCTGTGCGGGTTTCCTCTGGGTACTCCAGTTTCCTCCCACACTCCAAAGACATGCTGGTAGGTGAATTGATTCCTGTCCAAATTGTCCCTAGTATGTGTATGTATGAATGTAAGTTAGGGACCTTAGATTGTACGCCCCTTGAGGGCTAGGGACTGATGTGAATGTAGAATATATATATGTAAAGCGCTGCATAAAATTGGCGGCACTATATAAGTACCTGTAATAAATAAATAGTTATAGGAACCTTTACATTAAAAAAAAAAAAAAAAGCCTTCATAACCCTTACTAAACTGACTCAGTTAACGCCTTCCTCTGCCTCCTCTCCTTAGGTCTGTTTTTTTCTATGATTTCTATTTCATTACAATTATTAAACTTTTTTCAAGCCATGTGTTCCTTTTTTTTTTTTTTAGTGATACATTAAAAAAAAAAAAAAAAAAAGCACAAAATTGAAAAAAAAAAATAATTTATAAATAACTTTGCTACACTTTGTATTGGAAACAACCTTTTTGCCAATATACACAGAAAAATACTATAGAATAAAATGCGCACTTCAACTTGTTTTAAAACTGGCACTGGTCAAACTAGAAAAAATAATGCATTTTATGTTAAATAAAGGTCTATAAAAACTGCATAGAAAATATTTTTTTCTTCAAGACAATAATGACTAGAGAGCCTTTTTGTACTGCTTTGCACTAAAAAGGAAAAAAAAAAAAAAAAAAAAGACAAAAAACACACAAACAAACAATGGACATCCTGTTTTTGTTACATTAAGTAATGACAACCTTATCGCTGGATTGATAGGCCTATAGCTGAAATGAAAAACATTGCTGTGGTCCATTGGGGTGTACACAGGTGTGAGAGATGAACTGGTTGAAGTACCTGACTGGAAATGTCCTCCCGATGCTTTATTTCCAGCTCCATGCAAGCCTTTTGTACAGCCTTCTCTTTCTCGATCACAGCATTGCCGAGTTTTATTTTCAGATCTTCCAGCTGTTCAGTTTCTAGCGCAGTTTGTGCAAATAATGATTGCTCAGTCTGTACAGCACAGTCTGCTAAACTCTGCATCAACGTCTCTTTGGCATGTTTTAAAGCGTTATCTAGCTTATGTTTCCACTGATTCTCAATATCTTGAATTTTAATTGCAGTTACCTGAAAAAAAAAAAACCCATATGTTATCAGAAACCAAGAGAAAACCTCATCATATGACATGCATAACACCAAGAATATGAAAAGCAGAAATATTACTAAAGAAATTCCATAATATAAATTGAAATGTCAAAAGGGACAATTGAAATCTCCCAAAGCTGCAGGAAAGATATGGAAAGTAAAGACATGTCACCATTGTACTGCAAGAGATGAATTAATCCATTAGGCAGTTTAAATATTGGATTTGGGTGAACTAGCCCATTGAAGGATATCAAAACAATGTATTTTCATTTTGACTGGAAAACCGTGAGTTCTATATGCTCTTATTATATACACTATATTGCTGAAAGTATTGGGACGCCTGCCTTTACACGCACATGAACTTTAATGGCAGTCTTAGTCTGTAGGGTTCAATATTAAGTTGCCCCGCCCTTTGCTGCTATACCAGCTTCATCTCTTCTGGGAAGGCTGTCCACAAGGTTTAGGAGTGTCTATGGGAATGTTTGACCATTCTTCCAGAAGTGCATTTGTGAGGTCAGGCATTGATGTTGGACGAGAAGGCCTGGCTCACAGTCTCCGCTCTAATTCATCCCAAAGGTATTCTATCAGGTTGAGGTCAGGACTCTCTGCAGGCCAGTCAAGTTCCTCCACCCCAAACTCGCCCATCCATGTCTTTATGGACCTTGCTTTGTGTACTGGTGCGCAGTCATGTTGGAACAGGAAGGGACCATCCCCAAACTGTTCCCACTAAGTTGGGAGTATGAAATTGTCCAAAATGTCTTGGTATGCTGACACCTTAAGAGTTATCTTCACTGGAACTAAGGGGCCAAGCCCAACCCCTGAAAAACAACCCCACACCATAACACCCCTCCAAACTTTACACTTGGCACAAGGCAGTCAGGCAAGTACCATTCTCCTGGCAACTGCTAAACCCAGACACGTCCATCAAATTGCCAAACAGAGAAGCGTGATTCATCACTCCAGAGAACATGTCTCAGAGTACAGTAGTGGCGTGCTTTACACCACGGCATCCGACGCTTTGCATTGCACTTGGTGATGTAAGGCTTGGATGCAGCTGCTCGGCCATGTAAACCCATTCCATGAAGTTCTCTATGCACTGCTGTTGTGCTAATCTGAAGGTCACACAAAGTTTGGAGGTCTTTAGCTATTGACTCTGCAGACAGTTGGTGACTTCTGTGCACTGTGCGCTTCAGCATGCGCTGACCCTGCTCTGTCATATTATGTGGCCTACCACTTCGTGGCTCAGTTGCGGTTGTTCCCAGTTGCTTCCACTTTGTTATAATACCACTAACAGTTGACCGAGCATTACAGTGGCTAAAGGGTTGCCTGGCAGCAACCATCACAGCACCAACAGAGCGCTAGAAATCCCCCACCTGCCTGGAGTTTGCATGTTCTCCCTGTGCCTGCGTGGGTTTCCTCCGGGTACTCTGGTTTCCTCCCACACTCCAAAGACATGCTGGTAGGTTAATTGGCTCCTGTCTAAATTGGCCCTAGTATGTGTATGTATGAATGTAAGTTAGGGATCTTAGATTGTACACCCCTTGAGGGTTAGGGACTGATGTGAATGTACAATATATATGTAAAGCGCTGTGTAAATACAAGTACCTGAAATAAATAAAATATTTAGTAAGGATGAAAAGAGGCACCACGAAGTGCATACTGTTTTAGATTTATTAAAAGACCAATTAAAATGCACTCATGTGTAAAGTAAAAGACAGGCACATCTAGGATCGAGTGGATGTGCCTAGTTGATCCTAGATGTGCCTGTCTTACTTTATTAATCCTTTCCGCATGTTCCTTGGAGACTGCTTCTTCTCCGCTACAGAAGGCCCACCTTTAGTGGAAACTGGGAGGTGTTCTGACACAGAACCTATTGTATACACCAGTGGACTGTCGTTTTTTTTTACAGACAACAGTCACCTTACGCCAATTCATCCCCACATGGAACATTTAGTAGCAAGGAAATTTCATGGATGGAATTATTGCACAGGTGGTAGCCTATCACCGTACCACACTTGAATCCACTGAGCTCCTGAGAGCGACCCATTCTTTCACAAATGTTTGTAGAAGCAGTCTGCATGTCTAGGTGCTTGATTTTATACACCCGTGTCCATGGAGGTGATTGGAACACCTGAATCCAATGATTTGGAGGGCTGGCCCAATACCTTTGGCAATATAGTGCATTTCTGAGACACCAGTTAGGGTATTTCTCTGCAGTCAGACCAGCAATCTTTACCAGCAAAACCTCAGTACAAAAGCGTCAGGTGCCCAATTGGGAAAAATATAGCAGAGGTTTATTTACACTCATATTTATAAAGCGGTGAATCTGATTTTCACCTAACACTGTCAGTGAAAACACATGCACCATGGAAGATTCCCCTGCAATGAATGTTTGCTGCATGCCAAATTGACTGCTTTATAAATATGTCCCTTACTGCTAGGCATTAGGTCAAGGGTTATGGACAGCTACGTACAAAGGTTGAGGTTTTAGGTAATCGGTAAATGTAAGGGTTAAAGAAAAATAAGTCTAGGGTCAAGCTAAAGGAAAAATTTATGGTAACAATTAATTGTACGGTCAAGTTAAAGTGTTAGTTCACCTTTACAGAAAAAAGTGGAAAGATGAACATTAAACACCCTACTATATTTACGTCTGGGAATGCTGAGTTGTCAGCGCCCATGCAGCCAGTCCAGGGATTTGAAATTGTATTATTTTTATTACAGATACTTACATAGCACCATCAATTTACGCATCGCTTTACATATATTGTACATTCACATCCGTTTATGCCCTCAAGGAGCTTACAATCTAAGGTCCCTAACTCACATTCATATGCTTAATAGGACAAATTTGGACAGGATCAAATAAACCTACCAGCATGTTTTGGGGATGTGTGGAGGAAACTGGAGTACCCAACCCACGCAGGCACAGAAAGAACACGCAAGGCACTTCGTATCATAGTTGGGATTAGCACCGGCGACCCTAGTGCTGCTAAGCAGACGTGCTAACCGCTTGACCTGAAAACCCCACTCTTCTCTTTCCATCGCTTCCGAGATGAGCCAGAGCAATTCTGATGGGTCAGCTGGGACTGTGAGTGGTGGTGAAGGGGGGGAGGGTTGGAAGGGTGTATGGTGTTAGTTGACCTTTTAAGGTTTTTTTTCTGTACAGGTTAACTAGCAGCTTAAGCAATATGTTTAAATATCAACCCCAAAGCTGATCTCCCGGCCTTTCTTATCTCCCTCTACTAGGTTGGTGCCAGGTGACAATTACAACTTTGTGCAAAGGGTTCATTCTCACACTCACTAACTTGTGTTGCATGGTGAGAGAATACCTCAACTACTGGCGCCTTTACCACTGAGCAGGCACTGAAGCACTGGTGAATGGCAGGTACTAGAAGCAGTTATTGGGACACTTGCAATTCATGAGTCAGTAGGTGATCTCACTCAAAAAAAGGGGTTAGCAGTTGCACACGTTTGCAGACACAGTATGAGTGGTGCGTCCATTCCACATAAAGTGCAACCATGAAATTCTATCAATGGACCACACACCTGCTGCTGCTGCTCCTTTATCCAATCTTCTTTTTCCAAAGCCAACTGAGTCTCAGTTTCTCTCTTAATTTCTTCCTCCTTTTCTCTCTGCCACTGTGCCTTCACCACCGCCAATTCACACTGGTGTTTGTCATCTAACTCCATTTTTACAGACTGCAAAGAGTTTTCTTTTTCCTCCAGCAGCTTATCTCTCCACTATAATGAAATGTACACTTAGAACGACTTTAGGGATTTAGTCTACGGCACATATATAGGAAACAGAAACGCAGGTCAATTTACCTTTTCTTCATTTAGCTGAAATTCCTTCTTCATACTCTCCCGGATGGTGTCCTCCAGTGTATCCTTCTCTTTACACACAGCTATGTAACACTCCTGTACTGCAGTCATCTCAATGGACAATTCGGTCATTTGTGATCTGCAATAAAAAGGAGAAGGGACATTATCTATGTCCAAAACTGGGAAAAAAAAAAAATTAAAAGAAAACATACGTGCCCCAATTGGACGCTATATCTTTAGCTAAGAAATCCTTACTGTAACTGGGAAATTTTTGCCTCGTATGTCTGGCACAACTGGACTTTTTCAGCTTCAAGCTTCTCACCGAGTTCCATTCTTAAATGATTCCTAATGTCTTCATGATGCTGTTCGTATGTTCGCTCGCACCTGGGACAACATGCACGGATTACTCACCAGGAATGAACTTAGGGAATTTTGCTAACCAGCTGTAAACACTTTAGAACATATTTATAAAAGCTGGCAAAATAAACACTTTCTCTGCACTTCAACCGAAATCATCCCAAAAAAGAGAAGTCCTTCTGTCATATTATGTTTCGTGTTACACTCATGTTTAGTCCTCATGCACACGGGACGTTTTGATAACGCTGGTAACGTTAGCTGTGTAAAGTCACGTTAAAAACACGAGTTTTGAAGCTTTTTTTTAGTGTTTTTGCTTTAGCGTTTAGCATCGTTTTCCCATGTTTTTACGCGTTTGCAGCTTTTTTTTGGCCAAAAAAAGTCAAAAAATACCGGTTTGCAGCATTTTAATGTTTTTTCAGTGTTAAAGCATTTTTACAGCTAACAAAACTCCTGTAGAAACCCACTAGTCCTGGGTTTCTTTCCCAACCAAAAAAATGTTGATTCTAGTATATGTGTGCATGGACACATAGGATAACATGCTGGGGGATTTACTGGCTGTAGAAAAAAAAAAAATGTCAAAAGCCAAAAACAGCCGCTGTAAAAAAGTCAAGTGTGCATGAGGACTTAAGGTGTAACATGAAACACGGTCACAGTCTCCAACCCTCCACCCCCTAACCGCTCCCCTCACTTACAGAATTGAGGGGTTCTTCTCCCTGCCAACTTTGACTTTGGCACAGCTGTACAATTCACAGGAATCACTGAAGGGAAAAAAATATGTCCCATTTGCCACCGCAGCAGAGGGACTGTTTCTCATCATTGGTGTCACATGGAGGAATAGTGCCCTAAGGGCCAGAAAAGGGAATTGAAAGGTCACATCCAGACCCTGGGCCACAGTTTTGAAGTAATAGTTCCAGTATCAATGGTGCCAGTGGGAGCCATCCATGGTGTCAGTGGGAGGGATAGTGCTCCATTAATGGTGTCAGTTGGAGGAATGATGCCCCATCATTGGTGTCAGTGGGAGGAATAGTGCCCCATAATTGGTGTCACATGGAGGAATGCTGCCCCAAGGGCCAGATGCAAGAAAGCGAAGGGCCACATCCAGACCCTGGGCCACAGTTTTGAAGGAATAGTTCCAGTATCAATGGTGCCAGTGGGAGCCATCCATGGTGTCAGTGGGAGGGATAGTGCTCCATTAATGGTGTCAGTGGGAGGAATGATGCCTGATGCCACATCATTGGTGTTAGTGGGAGGAATGCTGCCTCAAGGGCCAGATACAAGAAAGCGAAGGGCCACATCCAGCTTCCGGCCCGTAGTTTGGAGTCCAATCTAGGTGATTAGGTCAAATTGTAACAAAGCAGAAGGGGAGCTTTAAAGTGGGGCAATAAAAAAAATTCAGATGCATAAATCAAGGAACCAAGTAGCATGTGGATACATTTTAAAAGAAGCAAAAAAAAAAAAAAGAGGAGTGGGATTATATTATTAGGACCGCACAATGAAGAGGTTTTTACTAATCCCACAAGGGTGAAAATAATGGCAAGTGAAACTCAGAGTGACAGTCCAGATATATCATACGATCTCTAGCATAGGCCATTTGTCCATGTAATAGACTTCAACCTCTACACTACACAACAAATAAAGAGGCAATTGTACACACAAATGTCACAGTTTTACAAGCTGCCAGGTTTTTGCGATTGTGTGATGGTGCAGGTGTCAGGAACAAGATTAGAAATAAACTGCAGCTGTCACTGGACAAATGCCTGATTTATGATGCATCTGCTTTGTGAAGAAGAAAAGTGATCTGAAGGCAGTAACATGAAAGAACAACATAGTTACGCCGTTTTAAAGTGAATCTGTATTTGGATTATAAGCAACACGAAGTTCTGGTTTAAAAAAATGCATTCAAGTATGAATTCTCAGCTCAAAAAGTCCCTTCTATTACTCAGCCCCCTTAAAATCCTGAAATTCCTTTTAGTGCTGTTGTGAGCCAACTTCTGTTAAGGGTGACTACATTTGTATTCTATGGTCCCGCTGTATGTAGGAATGTAGCCACCCTCTCTTGCCATTTCCTCAGATGGACTATAGACTATGGGAGTTGTAGTGCTCATAGAGCAATGTACAATATTGCTGCTAACGTGCACTGCTCAGTCCAAATGGGGGGGGGGGGGGTTCAGAGCTCATAGAGGGCATTACAAGGAGGTAAAAGAAAACCCAGTAAGAAACGGATTCATGAAACATAGATTAAAGGGCCATTAGGTAGTAAATGTGTATGGATTGATTTTGGAGAATATGGATATTGCCTAGTGTACCTTTAAAGCACCAACATATTAGGAAGATATGTAAAGTATCATAGAATGCCTGCATGTACAGTATATTCACATAAAGTGCAGAACGACTTGGAGGACTGAAGTCGAGGAAGACAAAATAAGCAAATAACCTCCGCTCCTGATGTTTTTATTGGCCATTTCCTTCCCAGCTATCAATCAATCGCTCCACCCCCCACATCACCCCCTCACTCTCTGCCCACCTCCTAAATGACATATCTGACTGGATGTCGCTCCACTTCCTCAAACTTAACCTGTCCAAAACCGAGCTCCTGGTCTTCCCCCCACCCCCGCCCCCCCCACCCATCCTCTCCATCACTACTAACAATGCCACCATCACTCCCCACCCCACATGCCAAAGTCCTGGGTGTCACCCTGGACTCCCACCTCTCCTTCCTACCCCACATCCAATTGCTTTCAAGATCATGCAGGCTCCACCTCCGCAACATCTCCAAGATACATATATTCCTCACCCCAGACACCACCAAACAACTCGTACACTCCCTCATCATCTCACGCCTGGACTACTGCAACTCCCTTCTCACTGGCCTACCCAAATGAACGCTATCCCCACTCCAGTCTATCCTGAACTCAGCGGCTAGACTCATCCACCTCACCAACCGCTCCACATCTGCCACCCCCCTCTGCCAATCCCTTCATTGGCTCCCGATTGCCCAACGTATCAAATTCAAATTACTAACTCTGACCTACAAAGCCATTCACAATGCCGCCCCAATCTACATAACTGACCCGATACCCAAATACTACCCTACCCGTGCCCTCCGCTCCTCACAGGACCTCCTACTCTCTAGCTCCCTGGTCTCCTCCTCCCACGCCCAATTGCAGGATTTCTCCAGACCTCCCCCATCCTCTGGAATTCCCTACCCCAGTCCATTAGACTGTCACCTACCCTCATCACCTTCAGGCGCACCCTGAAGACCCACCTCTTCAGGGAGGCCTACCCCACCCTCACCTAACAACTGACCTCCTCCACTCCTCCTACCACTCCATCCCCCACAGCCATTTCCTCTTGTTCCACTTCCCCTCCCTCCTAGATTGTAAGCTCGAAAGAGCAGGGCCCTCAAACCCCTTGTGTATTGTATTGTTTCTGTCCTGTCTCATGTTTTGTCCCCCTTGCTATTGTACAGCGCTGAGCAAACCCTTTGGCGCTATATAAATACTGTATAATTATAATGGACAGGCTCATAGGCTAATAGTTGCAATATGTACATACATGTGGGTACATTTAAAGTGTTCCTAAACCAATAACCCTGCATTCACTATATCTGGTCTCCCACAGTACACAGAACATGGAAATGCAATTATTTTAGTAAATATAAACTGCTAAATACCTTTTCTCATCATCAGTATATAGCAGTCTTGTGACTTCTATCAGTGTCCAGCTGAGCAGTGGTTAAAAGGAGGAGTTTTCATTCTGCTCTGACTGTCCTGTGTGGCTGCAATACCCCTGACCCTTTGTCTGGACAGTGCTAATTGGCCCTGTGGTGGTCATATGCACCCTCCCAAAGGGGGGGGGGGGGGAACCCACTAACAAAAACACACCATAGTTACATAGTTAGTCTGGCTGAAAAAAGACAAAAGTCCATCCAGTTCAACCATAGAAAAAAAAAGTTATAATCCTATACCCACAGTTGATCCAGAGGAAGGCAAAACAAACCCCCAGCAAAGTATGATCTAATTTGCTCCTGCAGGGAAAAACATTCCTTCCTGATCCCCCGAGAGGCAATCGGATATTCCCTGGATCAACTTTACCTATAAATGTTAGTATCCAGTTATATTCTGTGTATCTAGGAAAGAATCCAGGACTTTTTATAAAGCAATCCACTGAGCTGGCCAGAACCAACTCTTGAGGGAGTCTATTCCACATTTTCACAGCTCTTACTGTGAAGAAACCTTTCCGTGTTTGGAGATTACATTTCTTTTCCTCCAAACGTAAAGAGTGCCCCATTGTCCTCTGTGATGACCTCAGGGTGAATAACTCTACAGAGTTCACTATATGAACCACTGATGTATTTATACATGTTGATCATATCCCCCCTTAATCTCCTCTTCTCAAGAAAGAATACATTCAGTTCCTCTAATCTTTCCTCATAGCTGAGCTCCTCCATGCCTCTTATCAGTTTAATTGCCCTTCTCTGTACCTTCTCCAGTTCCCCAATGTTCTTTTTGTGAATTGGTGCCCAAAACTGAACTGCATATTTCAGACCTGACCAAACTGAGCATGTGCAGAGTGACTCCTAGGGCTTAGCCCCATCAGCAGATGGAGCGGGGACTGTGGAAGAAGGGGAAGATCAGAGAAGGCAGGATCAAACAGCATTTTCACACAATGCAGAGAATTAACCCCTTAGGTTCCACAGTAACTATAACAAGCATGCTTTACTGCATATACAGACTGATTTTACGGTTGTGGTTTTAGTAACACTTTAAATGAATGCTTTGCATATCTATCATGTGGTGATTGCTATTCCATGTATGCCTACCGAACAACTCCCCTGCCTGATCAATATCCTTTACATAGATGTGATCATTTGTGAACTCCTCACCATCTTCTCGGTATGTCAAACACTGCCCTCTGTAAAATTTAGGCCTCATTCACAAGGGCATACTATAGCATACACCCGTGTGAGGAACGTGTTTTGCCCACACGGGATGCACATGTGTTCCATGCATCCACATGCAGGCAGTCCCATTTATGTTGATTGGGATGCAGCAGCTGCATGGACACTGCTCGCAATTTGAGATCCGTGTGGGTGCTGGTCCTCTAACACAAACTGTCAGCACTCAGGGATCCGCGCCCAAATATACAGTATATGAATGGGACTGCCTGAACACAGAACACCTGTACATCCCATGTAGGCAAAACATGGCCCTCACATGGGTGTACACTTGTGTGAACACGGCCTAAAAAGTTCAGGGCGTGCCTCAAATTTTTGGATTAGGGATGAGCTCAGGCGTATTTGGATTCTGGTCCCAACTGACCTGCACGAGGCTGTTCAGAAGTTGTCACTGTACTGGGCCAATCACAAGTGGCGGAGCCATTCTCCACCCCGCAGATGCATGTACACATGCCCTTTTTGTACATACGTGACTGCAATGCAGGGAATGCCCCAGCAGTGGATGAATGGCCCAGTGTAGGTGACATCTTCCTGGTGAGCTTGGACTAGGATCCTAACATGGCTGAGATCATCACTAGCCCTGGATCTGAAGGGTTCACCAATAAATATACAGCATATTGTCATACCCTCCCATATACAAAGCAGGGCCCAAATGCTACAGGAATAGCCACCCTTAGGTTCAAGTGCAAAACAGAACAAAAGTAAAATAGTTATAAAAATGTTAAAATCATTTACCGCTCAATGGATTCCTTCTTATCTTTATCAAATTCTTGAATCATTTGTCGCATTTCACTACAGAGTTGCTGATTTGCTGCCTTTAATTTCTCCTCACTTGCAGTGAGCTCCTCGATATGCAACAAATGTTTCTATTATGAAAAGAAAAAAAGGGTAAAAAAAGGTTAAAAATGGTAACATAATAAAAAGCTGCATTCAGCATTTTTCTGGGTAGATAATGTTATGGTGCATTAATGGAAATTTATAAGAACATTGAATCCCCTATTTTATTGGGGTCCCTTGTTTTAGCAACATGGATAAGTCTCCCTATCCCATGATCCCTAAATAGCCAATGGCCTTGAGTCTGTTAGGGGGGGGAAGCTCTAAGCCTGGATGGAAGCAACTGAACTTTATATAGTGAAGACAAAGGAGGATACACAGCATATTTATAGACTGGGATGGAGCAGGACAATCATATTGTCTGGGAATCTTAGGAGTGTATTTATACAAAAAAAAAAAAAAAAAAATGGCAGAGCCATTTGTCCAAAAATTGTATGTACATTCATTCTGTGCAAATGCTGGTAAAATCCAATGTTACTTCATTTTCTCTCCAGGTCACATGCTTTTCAATCATAAGAGCATGACTTAGGAAAATAACACATAATGGCCACTAGATGGAGTTGCTGATCATAGTAAATACTTTTTCCTATGATCAGCTCATCTAGTGGCCGCACTGCAATATTTTGCTGATTGACCTATTTGAGTAAGGCTACGTTCACACTAGCGTTGTGTGCAGGCGGCAGAGAGGCGTTTGGGAAGCGTTTTTACCACTTCCCAAACGCCTCTGACAATTCTGCACATTGTGCTGTTCTAACAGGAGTGTTTGCGCTGCATCGCGGCAAAACGGACGCCTCTGGTCGAGTCAGGAGGCGTTGAAGCCTCCTATTCTCGTCTATGGTGCCGCTCCGCAAACGCCCAGCCGGCGTTTGCGGTGCGGTTGCGACTCTGTTGCGAGGCATTTGCGGAGCAGTAACGCCACTCAAACTGCATTATAGGCGTTTGTGGGGTGTTATTAATGCTCGGCAAACGCCTAGTAACCGTTGCTAAACCACGCATGCGGCGTTTGCCGAGCGTTAAAAATGCTCCGCAAACGCCAGACCAACGCTTACCAAACGCTATAGGGGCGTTTGGCAAGCGTTGGTAAAACAGCCAAGTGTGAACGAGCCCTAACTCCACTTTTGTTGAGAAGAAAAAAAAAGAAAAAAAAAAAAAAAAACATTCCCCTCTGTGTGATCTATATACATTGCAAGGATTTTAACAAACCAAGTTGCAGATTCCTACTTTTTGCTATTCTGAAGAAATTCCTGTTTGTCTCTGTCTATGAGCAAAGTGAATGTGAGTGATTTTATAATTATAAACCAGTTTCTGCACCTGCAGGGTTCTAATGAGGAAAGTGTCAGGGGCCTAATTTCTCTTTGGAAGTATCTCACAAACATGAGTGTTATATTGCAGGGGATGCCCAAAATCTGACATCTTAGTGCAGACTTCTGGGAAAATTAGTGAGCCAATCACACAAGCAGGAAATGACATCTTTGGGAGTGTTCTGTACAGCAAACTGTATACAGAATGCCTCCAGGTAGTCATATTGCGTTGTATTTTTCAGGAAATTACAGAGCTGCAGATTGGCAAGGAAAGGTAACTTTTAATAACATTCCATTACAATATGACTTGTGTCACAATTGTAAATCCTATATGATTTTTTTCTTAAATCGCTATTTTTTTCCCCCCAGAGTCACGCTTTATTGATGATCATCCAACTAGGAGAGAAAATAGATGAACACCGTCAATTTTGTTATTTGCAGAGAGCAAATGTACATACAGCTTCACAGAGCAGATAAAATGATTGATAAAAACATCCCTTAACATATGGAATAAATAGGTGGCCATAGGAGTGATACATGTAAGGCTTCATGCACACGGGGCGTTTCAATAACGCTGGTAACGTTCGCTGAAAAACTCACGTTTTTAACATGATTTTACACAGTTTCTTAGTGTTTTTGTATTAGCGTTTTGCTGTGTTTCTTCACGTTTGCGTTTTTTATTTTTGCGAAAAAAAATAAAATAACATTTTTTCGGTCAAAAAAACATCCAAAAACAATGGTTTGCTGTGATTTACCGCATTTACAGCTGAAAAAACTCCTCTAGAAATCCACTAGTTCTGGGTTTTTTCCAGCCAAAAAATGTGGACAGGATAACATGCTGGGGGGCTTACTGGCTGTAGAAAAAAATGTCAAAAGCCAAAAACAGCCGCTGTAAAAACGTCCCGTGTGCATGAGGACTTAGGCATGCAAGCAGACAACACATTGTGAGGAAGGGCCTGAAGGACAGTGAAGATTCAGAACTAGACAGCACAGTTACAATACATGAAGTAGTATATAAGAGACACTAGAAGAAAGCAATTATGGATATGAGACATTAAAGGAGAAAAACACAAAGAAAGGACTCTGCACAAAGAATAGTATGAGGGACTGGATCATGAAAGAATCAGTACATGGGGGCAAAGGTGTACAAAAGGGTCAACTAGCTCATGAATTTAATGGGCCCCATTCACTAAGCTATTCTAGGATATTGCCAGCAAAGAGTAGCACACCAAGCAATGTTATGAAATACATTTTACTAATAAGAGTAAATAGTAGAAAAAGGTGAGCGCTAGGCAATAATAGGAAGCAGCTAGAACAGAAGACAGGTAACAATTGAATATGTAAACGAGTGCAGCGCTAAAAAGTACTAAAATAACATAAAATGTATCAATATATGCTAAAGCGGAACAATAAAGTGCATCGTATAAGAGTGCAGAAAATGATCCGCAAATCATATGGTATAACAGAACTATTAATGCACTAAAAACTGAATAAATGATAAGGAACAGCAAAGTGCATCATGTAAAAATGCAAAAACAATGAAGAGGATATACTACAATAATAAAATGTTGCTGTTCCATATCATTTATTCAGTTTTTAATGCATTAATAGTTCTGTTATACCATATGATTTGCGGATCATTTTCTGCACTCTTATACAATGCACATTTTACGAATAGATCACTTGATCAAAAGCGGTTTAACGCATGTAACATTTGCCTTGTGATTTTAACATCTAGCTCACAGAGCTTTTTTCATTGGCTGATGAAGCAGCATGTAAGCATTTAGACAGCTCTAATTAGATTTTTCTGGCACGGATGTAACAATCAAGCAGCCCACCCTAGCCCCCGCCTGATACAGCCATGCAGCATTTACTTGCCTGGCGCTCTGTGGAGTCTCTGCATTTAGGCTACGTTCACACTAGCGTTGTGTGCAGACGGCAGAGAGGTGTTTGGGAAGCGTTCTGCCAATTCTGCACATTACAGGACATGGTGCTGTTCTAACAGGAGCGTTTGCGTTGCAGCAAAACGGACGCCTCTGGTAGTCAGGAGGTGTTGAAGCCTCCTATTCTAGTCTACGGTGCCGCTCCGCAAACGCCCGGCTGGCGTTTGTGGTGCGGTTGTGGGGCGTTTGCGGAGCGGTAACACCATTCAAACTGCATTATAGGCATTTGTGGGGCGTTTTTAATGCTCGGCAAACGCCTAGCAACCGACGCTAAACCGCGCATGCAGCATTTGCGGAGCGTTAAAAAACGCTCCTCAATCGCAGGACCAGCGCTTGCCAAACACTATAGGGGCGTTTGGCAAGCGTTGGTAAAACAGCCAAGTGTGAACGAGCCCTTACTGTTGCAGATGCTTTTACAAAAACAGCACTCTCGGCATCCCTTCAGCTGTGCTTGACCCTGCGTTCTGTGTGACCACTGCCGCAGTCTCTATGCATTCACAGCATGTCCCCCCCCCTCATTACTCCATACATGCCTGTGCCAGCTTGTCCCTGCCAGCCGCCGTGTCTTCTATTCTTGCACGGTGTTCCTTCAGACATGTCCGGGTCGCATGCTGAACTCTCCCTGGCCCCATGCAGCCCTCGGGCCACAAACTGGTTACCCTGATCTACATTATATTTTAATTCAATTTAAGTAAACATGGCATAGATCATGGACATATGGAGGATAACCCAGACCTTTTAAGATTTCACTGCCTGCATGCTTCTTCCAGGTGAGTCACTGTATAGTAAAGCCATGGGCTCATGCACATGGATGGTAAGAAGCACACATATGCTGTAGTGTAAAAATCCGGGCAGTTTTCAGAGTGCCTGGCGAGCCGCACTGGAAATCAAGTGAATAGCTGTTTTTTGTTTGCAACTTGCATTTGATTAATACGTTATACATGCATGCACATGTAGATGCCAATGCAAGAAAGCATCAGCATTCACCAACGTATGTCTGCATACAGCCATTCACTTCTATGGACGACTGTTCAAGCTACCTATGGCTCCGTAGGCAAAGAAAACCGCTGGGTTCTTTGAGCTCCACCACATTCGCACCTCTTACCATCCATGTACATCAGCCCTAATAGTCACATAAAAAGCAAGTCAGCTATAGAAACGTCTATATTTCTATGCTCACTGGCTCATTTTTGGTGATTTATGTTTCCAAACTAGATTCAGCCATCTTTCACACAAAAACGTGTAAAACTTGAGTGAAAGCTTTTCAATAGTCCCATTATTAAAACCCATCCTTTTTCTTGCCCTTGGGGGTCCTCATTAAGAGAGAGGGGATAACAATAGAGGACTGGAACATGTTGTTACACAGAAATTAATAAGCTCTCTGTTATTATATATTTAATTTTTTTAAAGAAAACTTCATCTACTGATCTTGCCCATTGGGAACAAGTCAGAATTCTTTTTTCCCCCCATAACAACAATATAAAATCTCACAAAATCCCAAAAACATGCGGCGCAAACGAAAAATAACCTATACGTGTAAACTCATAACAAATCTACAACGCATACGGTATGTGTAAGAATGAATAACTAAAATAAATAAATATTTCCAGTACTTCAGGGATACATCAAATATATAGACATGCACAATACAAATATTAGATAAAATATTAATAATAAAGTATAGAACTGCAAAAACTATCTTCCCGTGTTCCAAGATTGTGCTAACAGTGTAACGTCCACACTACAATAATAAAAGATGTGCTCCCAGGCTCCACGTGCTGCAACACCACCATGTGCCTCCACCTGCCAGTGCTGCTGCTTACCTTCACCAATTGTCCAACTATAAGTTAGGTCAAAAACAGCCTTCCCAATATTTTGGGTAATAAGCCTCCTCTTCTCCCAATCTTATGTCAGTAGCTCAATGGAACACATAAAAGCCAATAGGTAGAGGAAAGAATGGAAGTCTCTCATAGTGTAGTACCCCATGAAACAGATTTAAACATATAAATAATCAACCATACTCACAAATATAGTGCACTGATCCATTGCACAAGAATCATCGCCTGTTTCACTAAATACATGTTACCCCCCTTAAGGAAAAACATCCATCTGAAGAACAGCAAGTAAAAAGGCTGACCTCATGCTTCCGGTGTAATGACATCACATGACCACACCCCTGACGTGTTTCGTCGCGAATAGCGTGACTTCTTCATAGGGTCCTTGGACTTTCTGCTTAATATTTTATCTATCATTTGTTTTGTGTATGTCTGTATATTGGATGTATCCCTGAAGTACCAAGGAATATAGATCTATGTATTCATTGTAATACACATATGTGACGTAGGTAGGTTATTTTTCAGTTTCTAAAAAGGATTAACATAAAAAATTTTGTTTAAAAAAGTTCGTGCAGAGATATAAATATATATAGATGTGCAAAACCAATCAGGTGACAGGTGCGGGACGCAGCAGCACTCCTACTGGAGGGACAGCACACTGAGCCAATCCGGTTCTGCTGCAGTTTACCATGAGGGACTCTGCACCCAACATGACTATGTCCTGATTGATGGATATTATATGCGCATTTCCTATGCACGGTTGGTGAGTGCGCATTTCTGCCATACCCTCTGTCACAAGCCGTTTGGTTTTGCACGTCTAAATATATTTATATCTCTGCACGAACTTTTTTGAACAAACTTTTTTATGTTGGGCTTTTTTAGTGCTGCACTTTACTTTTATTTGTCAGAACATGAGGCTGTTGTGATTCCCTAAAGTGTTTTAGCTGCTTTATACATTTTATTTGATGAGCGCTCGCTTTATTCTATTATATTTTTCAGTTGCGCAGCACTTTTTTGGGCTAGTGTACTTTTTAATGTGGAAACACGTCAGGCGCTTGCAGCAACAATTTATTTTGATTATTTTATTGTAGACTCACTGTTTTGGTGTTACTTTATTTTTAACCAATTAATGACTTTATTATTTTTTTTGGCAAGCGTGGGATTATTAAAAGGTAAAATCTAAATGACTGACATTGGGAACAAATTATTTGCTCACTTTCTTCTCTCCAGATCTAATGATTTTGAGTTCTCCTCATATGAGCCCGCACAAGCTCTAGTCCATACAACTCAAGTCCATTGGTGTGTTGTGAAATGTTACGCCTCATGCCTCATCTCACGCCTGGACTATTGCAACTCCCTTCTCACTGGCCTACCCAAACGAACGCTATCCCCACTCCAGTCGATCCTAAACTCAGCGGCCAGACTCATCCACCTCACCAACCGCTCCACATCTGCCTCCCCCCTCTGCCAATCCCTTCATTGGCTCCCGATTGCCCAACGCATCAAGTTCAAGCTGCTAACCCTGACCTACAATGCCATTCACAATGCCGCCCCGAACTACATAACTGACCTGATACCCAGATACTACCCTACCCCTGCCCTCCGCTCCTCACAGGACCTCCTGCTCTCTAGCTCCCTGGTCTCCTCCTCCCACACCCGATTGCAGGACTTCTCCAGGACTTCCCCCATCCTCTGGAACTCCATACCCCAATCCATCAGACTGTCACCTACCCTCCTCACCTTCAGGCGCACCCTGAAAACCCTCCTCTTCAGGGAAGCCTACCCCAACCTCACCTAACACCCGACCTCACCTATCAACTAACTTCCTCCACTCCACCCACCACTCCATCCCCCACAGCCATCTCCTCCTGTGCCACCTTCCCCTCCCTCCTAGATTGTAAGCTCGAAAGAGCAGGGCCCTCGAACCCCTCGTGTAATGTATTGTTACTGTCTTGTCTCATGTCATGTCCCCCCTGCTACTGTACAGCGCTGAGCATACCCTTTGGCGCTATATAAATACTGTATAATATATATATATATATATTTTTAACTTTATTGAAAGTTACAAAATAAATACTTCAGTCAACGTTTGCAATACTCTGTGGTGTGTTGGCATGCAGAGATGGGAGTCCAACTGCATTTTCAAAGCAACACACACCACCACACGTATGATGTGCATAAAAAACAATTGTTAATCTGAGCCCTTGCATTGATCAATACCGATTAACAAAGCTCAATGCATCGCATTTGAACAAGCCCTTAGACCCATTATATAATATATATATACTAAAACTGATGCATTCAGAATCTGGTGCATCTGTGCATGGCAGCCAATCAGCATCTAACTTCAGCTTGTTAAATTAAGCTTTGACAATAAAACCTGGAAGCCGATTGGTTTCTATACAGAGCTGCACTAGATTTTGCACTCTCCAGTTTTAGTAAATCTCCCCCATTTTGTATTATTAGTAAAATACCTCAACTTCTTGCTGAAGCTTCTGATTTTCATCCGTCAGCCTCTGAATCTCCTGACTTTCTTGTCCTGTGGATCTGTGTGGAGAAGCAGGATCCAAGCGTTCCTCAAAGCTTCCCGGTCTGACCTGTAAAGTACAATAGTAAACATAAAGAAGGTCTGCGCCAAGGACATTTAGAACCTGCTAGCCTTTACAGCCGCACAGAACCTACTTCACAGTCCTTAGCTTCTTTTTCAGCCCTCTCAAGTAGCTTTTTCAGTTCTTCCGTTTTTGACTGATGTGTCTTGAGATCAGACTGCAGCTGTATAATCTGCTGACGTTTAGTTTTATTGCTGCTCATGCAACGCTCAAGCTCCGTTTTCAGCTCTGCAATGATATCATCAGACGAAAGGTCTTTTCGGACACCATTACTGCGCAATGACCTGCATGGACATTTAAAAAAAATAAACGTATAAGGGTCACTAAGCATAAACCAATCCGTATGCATTTCCAATAAAATACCAAAAAAAAAAAAAAAAAGATGCACGGAGGCCAATAATTTGTCAGACATTACATAAGAATGGGATACATTGCATGTTACACAGAAAGGTGTAGAGCAATGAGTAGCGAGTATAGTGCCCACATTATATTTTTAGGTCCTGCAAACCTATAGAGACACACTGCAGCTCAGTCCCACCCCCTCCGCCCAAACAGGATTTGATTGATAGCATGAAGAACCAATGGCGCTGCTGCTCTTGGGCACAGTGCCGATTGAGATAGGACTCAAAGTATTTGGGAAAGAGGATGGTAGCTGATCAGATCACAAGTATCTGCCAAATATTAGGCTTTGAGCTTCAGCCCCCTCAGATCTACAGTTCCAACTCCAGTACAGTGATGATAGTGGGTCACTCATTCTCCACCTCATCCATTCACACAAAAAAGTCTTATAATCTTTTCACTGGATAGAAGGCATTCTGTGAATGGATGAGGAGCGAGTAAATCACAGATTTCCTCATCTATTCACAGAATGCCTTGTATTCAGTGAAACGATCACAAAAAAAATGTTTTTTCCTGGCATTTCGGTGTTTCATTTTAGGCAAGTAGAGCTGAACACTAACGTGCATGGGGTAACGCACCACACATATCTAAATGGGGTCTAAAGATCTGATCGAGCACCTCACGGTGCCACAGTCCAGCAGCAACCTTAGTTTACATGGGTTTTTAATATAGCAACGTTTATTCAAATTACATGTTGAAAATTAATGCACAAAAAACTAGAACTGATCACGTCAGGCGAGGATGAAGAGAGTGTACAGCTTTCTTTTTTTGTCCTCCTTCAGCCAGAGGCTACAATACACCTTTTCTTTGCATTCCACTTTGTGCCATAAGCAATGTACCTTTGGAATCGAGTTTTTTGCCAGTTAACTTTCTTGATCCCTAAATCCACGTAGGAGTCAGAAAGCTCTTCTTGCCCTTCTGCATTAAGGAAAACCCCCAGCTTAGCAGCAGATTCATACATTGTAATTTGTTCTTTAAGTTCATTTATTTCTTCCTGGAGTGGAAATAAAACATGTGACGTGAAATATGCATTCCAAATGTGCAGAATCAAAGAATGAGATTTCCAAGACATTCATTCTTCCTAAATAAACATTTTAAAACCTAAACACTAAAATATATATATTGCAGCTTACCAGTCCTTAAACATGGCTAATGTGGATACCAATCAGCTGCAGCCCCTTATCATACAGTGTCGGGGGGGGGGGGGGGTGTCCTACATCCACCTCCTTTGTAAGTGTTTATTTAGCCAGCTGGCTGACAAAAAAAAAAACCACCGTGTATGGTAAACGTTAGGGTGTCTCCATTTTGGATGCAACAGAGACACCTTTGGACAGCAGCACTGTCCACCTGGAGAAGGTAGTGTTAGATGCATTAACAGATTTAGATGGACTTGACTAGCAAATTAAAGATGGACTGCAGCGAACACTTTTAGGCAGTCCCAGCAACAGCTTTTTTTTTTTTTTTTCCTTTTAAGATAAAGGGGAGGTTCTGATTTAAGGCTTCGTCCCCCGCTCCCCGTTAAGGATTGGCACCTTTGGGGAGGGATGGGGTACCCGAATTTGACAGGCACCCGCTCCAAATGTAGCTGCGATCGCCTATGAGATCTGAAGAGGACGTTGTCCTTACCCCCCTCCATCCCCATAGTCTTCTGGACACGTGACAGGTCCCAGAAGACTACAGGACCATTCACAAAGAGCAGAGCTACTCATGCGCAGGTGCCTACAACTGAACATGCCAGCGCCACAGTACAGCCAGTGACCCCGGCTGGTGTGAAGGCACCCTGGGATCGAGGGACAGGTGAGTGTCTTTTTTTTAAAAGCGAGCAGCTACAGTTCTTGTAGTTGCTTTTATTTTTTTTTTTTTTTTAGACTGGACCTCACATTTAACTCAAATAAATCATCAAGACCAGATGGCTTACACCTGAGAGTTCACAAAGAACTCAGTCAGGTCATAGCCAGGCCATTATTCCTAAATTTTTATGGACAGCATACTGACAGGAATGATACCAACTGACTGGCGAAGGGCAACAACGTGGTACCGAAAAAAAAAAAAAAAAAAAAAAAAAAAAGGGCATAGATACACTATATTGCAAAACGTATTGGGCCAGCCCTTCAAATTATTGAATTCAGGTGTTCTAATCACCTCCATGGCCACAGGTGTGTAAAATCAAGCACCTAGGCATGCAGACTGCTTCTACAAACATTTGCAAAAAACAGGTCGGTCTCAAGAGTGACTTCAGTGTCGTACTGTGATAGGTTGCCACCTGTGCAATAAGTCCTATTGTGAAATTTCCTTGCTACTAAATCTTCCATGGTCAACTGTTAGTTGTATTATAACAATGTGGAAGCAACTGGGAACAGCAGCAACTCAGCCACAAAGTGGTAGGCCACGTAAAATTACAGAGCGGGGTCAGCGCATGCTGAAGTGCACAGTGCACAGAAGTCACCAACTGGCTGCAGAGTCAATAGCTAAAGACCTCTAAATTTCATGTGTCCTTCAGATTAGCACAACAACAGTGCATAGAGAGCTTCATGGAATGGGTTTCCATGGCCAAGCAGCCGCATCCAAGCCTTATATCACCAAGTGCAATGCAAAGTGTCAGATGCAGTGGTATAAAAGCACGCCGCCACTGGACTCTAGAGCAGTGGAGATGTGTTCTCTGGAGTGACCAATCACTGTCGTCTGTCTGGCAATCTGATGGCTGTATCCAGGTTTGGCGATTGCCAGGAGAACGGTACTTGCCTGACTATATTGTGCCAAGTGTAAAGTTTGGCTGGGGGGGGGGGGGGGGGGGAAGGAGGGTGGAAGAGGGATGGGGGATTATGGTGTGGGGTTGTTTTTCAGGGGTTGGACTTGGCCCCTTAGTTCCAGTGAAGATAACTCTTAAGGTGTCAGCATACCAAGACATTTTGGATAATTTCATGCTCCCAATTTTGTGGGAAGAGTTTGGGGATGGCCCCTTCCTGTTCCAACATGACTGTGCACCAGTGCTCAAAGCAAGGTCCGTAAAGACATGGATGAGCGAGTTTGGAGTGGAGGAACTTGACTGGCCTGAACAGAGTCCTGACCTCAACCCGATAGAACACCTTTGGGATGAATTAGAGAGGAGACTGCGAGCCAGGCCTTCTTGTCTGACATCAGTGCCTGACCTCACAGTAGCTGCAAAGGGTGGGCCAACTCAACATTGAACCCTACGGACTAAGACTGGGATGCCATTAAAGTTCATGTGCGTGTAAAGGCAGGCGCCACAATACTTTTGGCATTATAGTGTATATTCCTGGAAACTACAGGCCAGTCAAGTCTAACATCAATAGTATGTAAACTATTGGAGGGGATGATAGGGGACTATATCCAAAAATTTACTGATGAATAGTGTCATTAGCAGTAATCAGCATGGCTTTACAAAAGGTCATTCTTGCCAAACCAACCTGGTAAAATCCTATGAGGATGTGAGCTGCCGTCTTGATAAAGGAAGGCCTGTGGATATGGTGTATCTGGATTTTGCAAAAGCATTCAGATACAGTCCCCCATAAATGCCTAATTTACAAACTGATATCTGTAGGCATGGACCATAGGGTTTGTTTATGAATAGAAAACTGGCTACAGGGGCGCGTCCAAAGGGTGGTGATAAATAGTGAGTACTCAGACTAGTAAGTGGGGTACCCCAGGTCTCTGTCTTAGGACCAATTCTATTTAAGTTATTCATAGGTGATACAGAGGTTGGTATAAATAGATCAATCTCAGTGTTGTTGCTGATGATACAAAACTAAGCAGGGCAATAACGTCACAAAACGATACAGAAACTTTACAAGAAGACCTTAATAAAATAAAGGGGTGGCAACTACATGGCAAATGAGGTTTATTGTTGAAACATGTAAAGTATTGCATTTGGCTGCTAAAAATATGAATGCAAGTTACTCACTAGGGGGAGAACCTCTGGGGGAATCCAGGATGGAAAAGGATCTGGGGCTCCTAGTAGACAGAGACAGGCTCAGCATTGCCACGTGGCAGCAAAGAAAGCTAGCAGAAAATTAGCATGCATAAAAAAGGGGAATTTACTCCAGGAGGTAAAACTATAATCCTGCCACCCTATAAAATTCTGGTTCGACCACATCTGGAGTATGCTGTCCTGTTCTGGTCACCAGTCCTCAGGAAGGACGTGCTTGAGCTGGAGAGAGTCCAGAGAAGTGCAGCAAAGTTAATGAGAGGGCTGGAGGACCTCAGTTACAAGGAACGACCACAAACATTAAACTTATTTTTTCTTTAGAAGAGACACTTTGAGATATGGTAGCGAATATACGAATACCTCAATGGTGATTCTAATGTATGGAATAAACTATTCAGTCTCAGGAAATATAAGATTACACTCAATGAAATAAGAGGAGAAGTGGTTTAACCATATGCCACATAGGGATTTTTTTTTTTTTACTTTCAGGGCAGTAAAGATGTGGAACTCACTTCCACAATCAGTAGTGTAAGCGAGAAGTATTGATCATTTCAAAAAAAACTCTTAGATGGGCATCTTAGCAAGCACA